AATCGAGTCGAGTTTATAAAATTATAAGTTGAGTCAATTAAATTTGAGTTTTTTCTATTCAAATAAAATTAAATAAAAAATTATTTTTTTCGAATCAAGCTTTGTTCACCTATGTTACAAATTGATTTACAAATTGATGTGTTAAACAGAGAGCACTAGCCCTTCTCTTTTAACCGGGCCTCACAGGTGTTGGATCAGTATGTGCTTGCAATATTTTCTTTCTTTTTTTAAAAAAACCCTAAGAATTAGATCGGATTTGGATTAGTTTCAAAAGCATGTTTTAGTATTAAAAAATATGTTATATTATCATTTGTAGGTGTGTTTTACATCCTAAAATGATTTAAGAAACTATAACTATTAAAATAATAATTATAATATTTAGCTGATAAAATATAATAATATAATTTAACGAAGTTTTAACTTAACAAGTTTAATAAATGTTATTTAAATTATATATATATTGATTAGTTTAAGATGATTACAAGATAATATATATTCAAAAGATTTTCAACCATTTGAATATAAACGTTCAAACACACATACAAATATCGTGTCCGAACTTAAAATCTCTGGAAATAAATCATTTGTTAACCACGAAAATCGCTTGGTTGATGCAGATTAAAAATATACATTACAGTACAAAGACTTCCAAAATAATAGAAATTAAAGACGATTTTAATAACCAACAACCGGTTGATATAATGATAATAATCACTAATTTCTTAAGTAAAGTCAAGGTATAAACACTAGACCTCCGATCCAGAATAATATCGTCCACAAATTTTAAGCGTTTGTAAGAAGAGTAATCTTAGTACGAAGAGCACGTCAATACATTCATCTAAAGTCATTTCGTTTCTAAATTGCAGTCGAGTCCTCTCGACGGTAATTATAGAAGCTTCCCATTGGAGGACGTGGCCGGGCGATATCGGTGGAGTGCTGAGGCATGTATTCTATACTGTTCCTTTCTTTTTTCTTTTCCCTGTCATATTGTTCTTTGGCATTGAGAGGTTAATAATTCTGAGTTTTCTGAATCAACCCCTACTGTTGGCTATGCTGCTGCAACTATGCATGAAAGCTCCACAACTTATTCAGACCGAGATTGCAGTCGGTAATAAATCAGAAGACGTACAACATAACTTTTAAACATAAGAAAACATATTCTGATAATGTTCAACAATTTAGGATTCTAAAAAATAAATAAAAACAAACATGCTAAAGTTTTTTAATAATTAATATTATTTAAAACCTAAATTTATATATGTTCAAAATTATAATTTAAATTACACAAAATTTAACGTACATCATTAAAATAAAATTACATTTTATCAATTAAATATAAGTTTAAAATAAGCACATTTATCTATGTTCAAGCTGTTATTTTTGTTCGTCGGTTCTAGACATATTAGGAGTATTCTTTTTTCTTCCCTTAAGTCTACTCCCCTTCCTCTCTAGATAGAATTAAGATTAAATTTAAAATTTTAAATATATATATATATCATACATTTAAAATTTGTAATTATTATAATTACGTCTTATAAATGATATTAAATACACTTTGATGTAATTACTTTTAGAAGTTAAAACAATCTTTAAATTTGACCCGTTGGCTAAGTTATGTATCTTTATTTTCTCATATTTCTTTAAGTTATAAGTTATATATATATATATAATTATATATGAGATAGGATCCACTCACATAATGTAAAACTCTCTTAGTTTTACACAGATTAAGGACCGTTGGATGAGCGAAAATAGATAACTAAGATTAACAGTAGAAAATTATAATATATTAACTGAAAAAATATCAAGGAGTAAATATCAGTCATCTATTTTCACTCGTCCAACGGTCCTAAATCTATGTAAAACTAAAGAGTTTTACATTGCCTATATATATAACTCTAAATCAAAATAGAGTTACGCAGTTCCAAGAGGAATTCAACGTTTAAAGATATATATATATATATATATCTCATTATTCCACGAGAAAAGTTATAACCATGGAAGGGAAGAAAATCAAATCAAATCTGTGAGTCTACATTTTTAAAGAAACATATAAAACCCTAATTTTTTTAATCCATGTATGAATTTATGAACATTGCCTATATCCATCATCAAATAGAGAGATTTGAACGTCTTCTTTATCCTTGTAGTCTTTCACTAGGATATAAATTGTTTCAATCCATAATGGAATGAACACCTCTCAAGTGTAATCAATTTCTCTTCTATGTTTCTTCAGTTGGTACCAAAAACAATTCCAGGAAGAAAAGAAGAAGAAGCAAAATCATGTCAGGCCAAGTCTAAAGGCATAACGAAAGGATTACCCTTTCATTTAGCAACCAAGACTCCTCATTATCCTGTCAAGCCGATTAATGACGATTTGAGGATTGACATATGGTCCATAAAGGTGAATGCCATGAGATTCCAACCCTTTCCGCTGTGCAATCAATTGAAAGTGATGCCGTCTGAATTTTCTGCTGATAATCTAGAGAAGTACTGTGTTTGGTGATGCAGATACTAGGTGTGTTAAACCAGCACCGTGAGCACTGATGATAACCGAGGCATCTTGAACGGCTCGGACCTGTTCTTTCATCGGCATATGTGCAAACAGCCCATTGATGAGGTTCACTTTGCATTCAACATGATTAGATGCCCAGCTCGATAGTGAACTGAACACTTCTTGTTCATTGCTAAGTCTTGGTTCAACTTTACCTTCATGGCGTTGATATGCTAAATAATCTTATCGACCGATAAAAAGAACCTTATGACCCGAGGCTGCCTTACCGGCACGGTGTCTGTTTACCGGAAGACCGAAAGCAGCTGTTATCATTTCTCCGAACTCAGATAATCGATCTGTTTTGTGGATATCAGGACTATGCTGTAGATCATGAGCTGAAACTCCATGACACTTTATTTTTTCACTAAGCCCTCTAACTAAAGGAGTCTCGTATCCCAAAGGTGAGAAAATTACATGGCGGAAACAGACTGGACCAGTGAAGCTTTTGGCGAATCTAAAGCTTGAAAACAATGCTTTCCATGTTTCATCTAATTGTGTCTGGAAATGTTCAACCAAGAACTAAAGATCAGCATTGTAAAGATCATATATTGGTACATGAATGATAATGTCATTTATAGAAGAATGTTGACATCAAAAACCGAACATGGAATACCGATCAATGTGTACCTGACAATGAGCATCGAAAAAGATCAAATGCGGCCGATTACGCAAGCCGGTGACCCTAGACGCACGTACGCGCTGTACCAATCGGTGACCGTGTGGAAAAGGTTAGCATACTCGAATCTTGTTACCAGAAGTGTAGGCTCATCCACCCACTGTAATCAGAGCTTCGCACATCAGAATCCATAAAACCAGAACTTAACATTGAGAATTGCATGAAATTGTAATCCATATCTACATAAAATCAAACGAAATATAATTTAAACTCTTGGCAATCAAAGTCATCTGCACCAACAATAACAATAGACCCGATGAATTCCCTGATAGGATGGCTTGAATCATCCTCAACAGGTATAAACTCATCCAAGAACCCTTCCCCAACAAGCTTCCTTCTCTTTAACCTTGATCCTCCATTACCTTCAACCACAAAAGCTCCATCATGAAGCTGAGGCAGTTCTTCTTCTTCTTCATTTCTACCAATAACATCCTCAAGCTTTTCACCTCCTCTCGACATCTCAATCTTCCCAGGATCCATCCTTATCTTCCCACCTTCACAAATTGAGGCCCTCAATGTCTCGGAGTAATGACACCGAAACCAACTGGACCCGGTTCTCAAGGCCACCTTTGCGGGCAAAATATCAGCTATCTTTATAAACTCATTTTCGAAATAAGCTTCGCATGAATTTAAAGCTACGTTCGGGTTCAAAGACCAAGGCAAATATGATGGGATGATTGGCCAGGGCTACGATGTGATGTTTGGCGACGGCTTTTATAAATGGGGTCTACGGTATGGAATGTTTATTGGAGAACTGTCCGCCGTAAAGTAGTTGTTCACCGCCAGATGTTGGTGGTGGTTCACCGCCAGATGTTGGTGGTGGTTCACCGCCAGGTATTGGTGGTGGCTGGGATGGGTGGACGAGAAGTAATGATAAAGAATGATGGATGGATGAAATTTTCCTTACTATGTTTTTTTAATTAAAAAATGTAGTATTTCGAGATTGTAATTATTGGTTTTAGTTTGAAAAGCGAAAACTAAAAATCCAACCAGTTTAGTATGTTTCTATTTTTTGTATTATTTTCGTAATTATATAAAATTTAAATCTGAGGTAAAATTAAAAAATATAATTTTTAAGTAAATTACAAATAATTTATGTTATTTTTAAAAAAATATCAATAACGTACACCACTTCGTAAACATAATTGTTTGAATTCAAAATTATTAAGAAAAATAATATTTTTCTAACTACTGAGATCGTTCTATAGATTCAAAAATATATATATTTTTTAAAATATATTTATAGATAAAGAGAGTGAGAAAGAGGGAGAAGATAGGGTAACTTCTATGACTAAAAATCAAAATGACAAAATATAGTGAAATTTGGAAGTAGAATTTGTAGCCCTAATTATAGGGCAAGTTAAAAGGCAAGACCTTATATTTTTCTAAGGTTCACGAAATGCTCTCAAGTTTTCTCCTATCGATTAGGTTCCTATATTTTCAAAAAATAAAATAAAATAATAATAATAATAATTAAACCATTACATTTCAATTTTATTTAGGTCCAAAAAGTTTTTCATCTTCTCGTATTAATCCCATTTTTTTTAATTAGGGTCAAAATTTTTCCTTACCTTTTCACAATTTTTAGCCCATGTTTTAGGGCATGACAAAAATGATTGCTAGTAATTCGTTGGTTGCTTAGAGGACTTAATGTGACACTCTCGAATTTATTAAATATTATAGGTAAAATTTAAGGTGACACTACGGAAATTAATAGATGAAATTCAATCAACACCGTGTCTATAGAAATATTATTTTTCTAAGTTATTGTACATATTATTTTATCATTTTTCTATATTTTATTGATAAAATTAAATTGATAAATTCTTAAAACAAAATAAGGAATCAAAAGTCTAGATTAAGACCTAATTCAGATCTCCAATGCCTTGCTTTCTCAAATCCGTTGGTGTAATTTTCGAAATCATCAATTGTTTGATCAATCTCTTCTTGAGTGTTCATCACAAACGGTCCAAATTGCACCAATGGTTCACCCAGTGGTTCACCTCCAATTAAAACGAACCTTAACAATTTAGATGACTTGTTCCATGCCTCTAAGCCATCCCCGACTCCCAAAAGAAGCAAATGGTGAGCATTCACCGGTGATGATTTCGACCGCCCGAAGATACCTTCTCCTTCCAACACATAAACAAAGGCATTCCACGATTTCGGTATCGATTGTCGGAGGTGACTCCCGGGATCCAAAGTGAAATCTAAGTACATTGTTGGGGTTCTTGTATAGATTGGTGACTTTATTCCCATGGCTTCACCGGCTATAACCCTAACTTTGATTCCATCTTTTGCGGTTTCAACAATATCCTTACTTGACATTTCTTGATACCTTGGTTCAATCCTAAACAGTAACATGGAAATATGCTCAGTATCCAACACCCACCTAAATTTGGGCAAGATGCACACACAAAAAAGGCTTTGGATATCATGTGTATCTAGTGGGACAAGCAAAAAACCATTTCATGATTAAAGACTCATCCTTCAAAAATGGGTCTCAAATAAAGGCATATTTCAAAAGCTGACCATATCCAGCAAAGATATGCTAAGATGGGTGAATTCAAGACCACTTTAACATGACCAAATCATTGTAGTATTTACTTTTTGTTCCATTGTTTGAATTACATTATTTTGATTCGACAAAGCTTTTTCTTAAATCTCTTTTCTTAATTTTAAAAAAAACCCATTTTTTTTTAAGATTGAACTTACATTTTATATTTGGAGGAGAGATTGACCCAAAGTTGGAGACCCTTTTGGGTTCCTTGTGGTGCAGGCATCTCTGAGTGGACAATGCCTCTTCCAGCAGTCATCCATTGAACATCACCAGCTCCAATGGTCCCCTTATGCCCCTCAAAGTCTTCATGTGTAACTGACCCCTATTGCGAAATCAAATCAAATATACCACCACCGAATGCAATTTTAATATATTCAAATATATAAAAAATTTAAATTTTAAATATATTATAATCAAACACATATAATCTTTGAATGTTGAAAATTCTATACCTGTAGCATATAGGTGACTGTCTCAAATCCTGTTGAAAAGAAGAAGAAAAAACAGAGTATTGTATAAGAATGCAAATACATTTCCATTTTCAGAAACAGAGTCTACATATTTAGTGGGGAAATGAAATCAAACCTCTGTGTGGATGATCTGGAAATCCAGCAGGTGCCGTGACTGCAATTTCCAAAATCAATATCTTTATAATATACGAAAAGAGGGAGAAAATAATACAGAAAACAGAGCTAACATAAAACAGAGACACTAACCTGAGAATTCATCCAAAACAAGGAAAGGATCAAAGTATCTTATCTCGAAACTGAAAAAGAAGAAGAAGAAGAAGAATATACCCTTTCATCTAAAAAACTCAAATTCATTCATTTTAATGGGAAAAAATTATTGACTTACCGGCCGATGCTTCTTCTTACGACAGCTCCAACTCCTTCATGCTGCGGCCTTGCCAGGAACTTCCTCACCACCAATCTTGGCTCATTTATGCCGACACCACAATTGTCTTTCTCAGGCATTCTTTCGTAGGTTTGTTTGTTTTCAGTTCAATGTTCTTTTTTTTAATGAGATTTTGTGAAGAAAAGGTGAAGGGTGTGAAGGAATATATAGAGAGAGAAAAAGTTTGAAAGAAGAGAGTTGTTAAAATATTGGATTTTGGAAGGTGAGAAGGGGTGGGGGCCAAGAGTTGCGGCCTCGCCTATTAAGGACTCACCAGATGCGAGTTTCCTTGTGCTTAAGTTAATAGCCTTTTTCAAATTACGTCAGCATGGCGTTCCCATGATGTCTGATTATGCCTGTTTTGATCACGTCCATTCAATGATCCACACGTGTTAAATCCAACTATGTCATTAGTTCTTCGGATTCGGTTTACAAAACGTTGACGAATTTATCGGTCACACAAACACGAGAGGATAATATATCCCAACCCATATTGATTTGTGAATTGCCCTATTTCCCCCTGCCAAAAGGAATAAGTTGCCCCCAATTTTCTTATAATTTTGTTTGCTTTTCAGTTTTAAAAATGTATAATGATAAAAATAGTCCCCAAGGTTTGTTTAAATTGTTAATTTGATTCTTATCTTTTTTTTAGTATTTTAGTATAATATCTTATTTTTTTGTCAAAATAATCAAATCGTTAGTTGATTAATTTTTAACGTATGTTGTTGACATAATATTTTCACATATTGCTCATAATACTAATGTGATATGTGTCATATCACTCAAAACGATGATGTAATATGTATCACATCACCTAAAGTTATGTTGTGTCGTACGACACATCATCCAAAGTGGTAATATAACATGTACTACATCATTAGTTAAGCACATGTAAAAATATCACACCAGTAATATGCGTTGACCGCTAGTCAATAAACGATTTTCATCCAACGAGATAATTTTGACAAAAATTAAAACGTTAGAGGTTAAAATATTTTTTTTAAAAGAATAAAAGCAAAATGATCATTTCGACAAACGTTGAAGACTAATTTTATCGTTATGTATTTTCAAAATTCCTTCAACTTTGTTAATCATTTATTGAAGTGTTTTTCTTTTTAGGTACAATAAATTTTAAATTACATAAATTTTAAAAATGATATAGAAGCCTAAATAATGTTGCCAAGGCCATTAATTAAGACCAACCAAACGGTAATAAATGATATTGCTTATACTGCACCCAAAAGGATAAAGTGCATTCAAATCATGTAATAAATGACCTTTAAAAGATAATTTGATTGCATTATCATGATTAACCATGAAAATTAAGTTCTTGTATGGACCACTTCTCGTAGTGGTGACCCATGCAGTTGGTTGTGGAAGGGTCCACACGTAACCCGTGAGCCTTTCATTATAGTCAATGTAGGTGTTCTAATTAGATTAATTCAATTATAATCATATAATTAGTATATATTTTTAGTTGATTGATCAAACCGTTTATCTTTACCCACTCATATAAAATAATAAATTATTTATATGTATCTAATCTTTACTATGTAATGCTTTTCAACTTATTTATGAAAATATTATATAAAAATATAAAAATATAAAATATTATCATAACATTATCTAATATTATATACTTGTAAATAATAATAAAAAGTGACTTTTTCATTTCTCAATCGATACACCAATTCAGTTAGTCACTTAATATATAATATAGAGAAAAATATATAATATAGAGAAAATAACTTCATTGATCAAAAATTACAGATAATGTATAATTTTGATCAATTTTTTTGGATTTACGAAAATGACCAACAAAATCGTAATGCGATCTCTAATTCACATTGCGATCTCCACTATCGCAAATTCGCGTTGCATTTCGCGTTGCGATAGTTGAAAATCGCGTTGCGATAGTCTACAGTTGTCGTTGTTATTTTCCAAATTCATTGAGATAGTCTACAGTTGTTGTTGCGATAGTATCGTTGCGATTTTCCAAATTCGTTGCGAAAATTCGTTGTGATAGTTAAAAAAAAAGATTTTGTTTCTTAAGAATTTTCTCTAAAAATATAGTATCTGCGCGGACGTGTCAAAGACACGTATTACCACGACCACGACCACGACCCGAGACGGACGGCGGCGTAGTGTTTCCAATACTATGTGGGATTTCAGCATTACCAACACTTGTTCCCAATACTATGTGGGATTGAGCCTTAAATAGTGATATTATTTTTTTAATGTTTTGCTTAAAATTGCAATAATCGCGATTGATTGTAGATTGACTTTTAATTATGACATATTTAATCGTATAATACTAATGCAATTAGTTACTGATTCAGTTGTTTTAAGGTGCATGATTGTTAATTGTTTCATGAATAATCACATTGTATTGGAAAAAAGTGTTGGTAATGCTCAATCTAACATAGTATTGGAAACACTATTGGGAATGGTATTTAAGGCTTGACTTTCCCACTTCCTTGTTGAGTGATAGAGAACAAGGGGGACTCTCGTGCGCCGCCGCCGCCTCCGTCCGTCTCGTCTTGGGTCATGGTCGTGGTAATACGTATCTTTGACACGTCCGCGCGGATACTATCTTTTTAGAGAAAATTCTTAAGAAACAAAATCTTTTTTTTTAACTATCGCAACGAATTTGAAAAATCGCAACGAATTTAAAAAATCGCAACGACAACTGTAGACTATCGCAACGCAAAATGCAACGCGAATTTGCGATAGTGGAGATCGCAATGCGAATTAGATATCGCATTGCGATTTTGTTGGTCATTTTCGTAAATCCAAAAAAAATTGGTCAAAATCGTATATTATCTAGGATTTTTGGTCACTGAAGTTATTTTCTCTATAATATATAATGGTGAATTTAAAATTCTTGACTATATATATATACAATATACGCAATTTATTTTTATTATCTACATTTTTTTGTTTACAAATAGATAATAAAAATATTTTAGTTTTTCTTCAACTATATGATCTAAATAAAAAATTACTTTTTTAAAAAATATATTATTCAATAGACATATAATATATCAAATGTTACAATTTTTTAAAAGGAAAACATAAAATAAAAATAGAGGTAGTGATTAATTATTGATTTTTCTCAATAATGTATTTAAAATTTTAAACACAATTATTATTATTTTTCGATTAATCAGATATGAATATAAGATAATATATGTATAAAAATTTTTAATCATTTAATAATATACATTTATATACTCATGTATATACGATATTACTACATGAGATCTTGAGGGATAACAACAATTCAATTATTTAGAATGTGAGATATTAGTTGAAAATCTAATGACATCATTAGAACAAAAGCATGACATGTGGGATAAATATCCGACGGTCTATGCGTGTGTTTGGATAATGAAAAACCTAAAGTCAAGTCAAAAGCTTAATCCATTACATACATAATTGTAAACTACAACAAATTAATGTCTGCAAAGCAACAAACAACGTGTGGAAATCGAAATCAATTTCGCAAATGATGATTTGCGGATTACAAAATGATGATGTTATTCCCTATTTTTAACTTTATTGTTTGAACCTATTAATTATCTTTGGGGTTGGAAAATAAATGTTATTTTCGTTAAAGAATTTATATTCGAACATTTATATTTGTAGGAAATGTATATATTCTCAACTAGTTAAAAAAATTCATAATAACCAATAACCAGTTGATCTAGTGGATGAGACACTATGTTTCTTAAGCAATGTCAGGGGTTCGAATCTTGATATTTGCAAATGGAACAAACTGGGTTCGGAGGGTTGCCCTCGCCTCTACAGTCATTATATGGATTAGTCAATTAATAGATCGGATACCAGTAATTAATTCAAAAAAATTCATAATAAATAATACATCTTATAATTACCTCATACAGTCATACCGTTAGAAAAGAACTTTATTGTCCAAATCCAAAGACATGTGCTATATTTAACAAACTATTATAATGTTTTTGTATAGTTTCATTGGATATTAATTTTACAAAATTTATAATTTGATCCTTATCAGAAAATTCAAGGTTTTATAAATATTATTGATATGATTATTAATATTAATTTATATATATCTATACCCTAAATCTCAAACATATTGACACAAGTCCATACCTAATTAATATACTCATTATTCCTCAAACCTAAAATAAACTCATTATATTTTTATACTCTAAATCTCAAACCTAAATTAAGAAAATTAAACTTGATATGGTTAAAAATAAGTAAAAACTCAATCCCAAATTAAAAATACTTTTTTAAAATAATAATATTCCAACAACATTTTATGTATTACATTTTTTTTATCAGTTATATATTACTATTACTCGATATTTACATGTCTAGTAATATAAGAAAAGACACATAATTGTTATTGATATTATTATATGGTTCACACCAAATACGGTTAAAAGTAAATAAAAACTCAATCCCAAATTAAAAATACTTTTTTAAATAATAATATAACTGTTATTTACATAACAACGAGTTAGAGGTCCACATCAATTACTCTATTGTTTTGTAATGGCAGTTGATTACATGAAAATCACTTAAATAGTTTGTGATCATAAGGCTAAAGTCGAAATATCGATACCAACACCATAGTTAAGTAGTCATTTGAGTACTTTACCCTTTGATTAATAATATAACGTGCAACTATGGAATGAATTTGTGGGTTTGGCTTTTGGGTCTCTGAAGATATATCTGCTTCTATTTTCAACAATTATATCACTATACATCATTCAACACAACATATATTATTCCAGATCCAAAATTTTTGCCACAAAAGAATAATCACACCATATCTTTATACAAATCATTTAGGCATCAAAGACATGTACCTCTCAAGAATTTTGTTGTTTTTTGAAAATTACAACTGAGAAGAATGAACAAAACTGCAAAACCAAATGCTAAAAGAATCAACATCTGTTTGGGCTCTAAGAATTAAAAAGAAATGTAGTATCTTCTGCCTGCAACAAGATATCGAAGCAATAAGGTACGACAACATGGGGGGAAATGGCTTAAGGGGGGGCCGGGTTTCTAACGGTTTCAAAACAGTGCAGAAATGGCTAGAAGCACGGTCAATAGCGGCATGATGACTGATGTAGCAACTTTAGGCTGTCCATTTGGTGATCTTGGGGCAGCCGCAGTACTATTTGGAGTAGTAGTTGGGGATTTCGTGACGACGGGGGGCAAAGAGGGCTCGACAAGTTCCACATCAGTCAGGTAGGGATTTGGAGCTGGCAGCTGGTGGCAAGTAAGGATCTGTGATTAGTTGATAAAGGTTGCCAGGCTGCACAGGACTCATATAACGTGGTGTACGATTGCCTCTGTTCAAGCATCGGTTCCCTACAAAATGATTATCGCATCAATACTGATTTGTGAGAGATTCATATTCTATTCGTAAAAATGCAAGGCCAGTAGCCTGATGCCAAGGAAATTTTATAGCTTCAGCATATAGCAGTGCTAAAATTCAACCAGTAAACACTTACTCCGGTATCTATTAGATGTCTTCGGGAAGTCTGAAACGACACCATTAATACAACCCCCCACGAAGAATGAATTGATCTCAACAGTTGCATCCGAGAAGAAGTCCCATGCTTGAGATGTGAACTCGTTACTGAAGGTTTGGACATAGACAGAGAGATTCGCAGCTTGTAGCCTCGGTACAACATTCGTAGCACTAGCGGTAAATAATGAATTTACGGGGAATACAGAGTCCTTGCTAATTACCACAGCAGTAGCAAATCTCTTAATGTTATCAATCGTTGAATTCTGAGTGCCACCGATATCTTCATCAATCTTGTAAACGAGATCATAGTTGGTTTGACTCTTGAACTTCATTAGGAAAGAGCTACTGCTAGACTGTATCATAACTTTCAGAGCTGTCTGGTTATTGTAGCCTAATTTGCTCGAGGCATCAAGCACTGCATCAGTTACACCAAATCCTTGCTCTGCAAGGAAAGCCGCATTCTGAAAGGAATAAACAAGTCAAAAAATATATAAACTCTTCACATGAAAAATTTTAGCTAGCTTTAATCATCATGAATGAAGATTTTAAGCAGATTAGAGTTTCCGGAGAGGTAGATTTCGTATCACCAAAAAGAGAGGACGATTGGAAATTTTGTTACTCGATGTCAAGAAAATATTTTGACATTTGCTACCCAGATAGAGGAAAGATCATGAGATATTCATATAGAATTATTGTAGTTCAAGAGTGATTTAGGCAATGTAAACAGTCAAAAAGATGTTTTCATTAATTAAACTATGTTTCTCAGAACAATAGCGACCATTCACAATCACTGTGCATAAACTCTTAACATCCATCATTAGGTTCAATAATGTAAGAAGAAATAGAGAATAAAATTACAGAACTCCAATGCAGGAAAATTGAAGAGCAAAAATATAGAAGGGAAGGAACCGACCACGATGCTGATCAAGGCACCTTGAATAGAGCTAGCATTGCTTGCCATGGTTAAGAACTCGGATAATGATAAGAACTTCCCAGCATTTCAGAACTTCGGGTTCCGAAACAATTCAAAATCTGACTGTGGGCTTGATATTACAGCTGTAGTTAAGTAACGATAGATTAAAACAAGGAAGTTCATGAAAAGCTAATGCAAATCATATCTATCAGAGAAATAAGAAGCCAGCTAAATATCAGCAACTGGAACACAGATTTTGATGATAAGGCAAAGTAATGTAGAAAGAGTTGGAAAACGAGAGAAAATAAAAAAAATAAAAGAAAGCAGAAGTTCAGTATAATAAAGCACAAACAAATAAGAACTGAATTTAACTTGCGTGTCAAGCTTTGAATATCATTCCAAGACAGATTAAAGGTAAATATTCCACTGCCCTGCTTAATCTCTGGAATTGTTGTTGAAAGATTGCTAAAACTTGTTTGAGCCACTGTTGTGCTATCTATGAGATTTATAGAGCTCAAGCAAATAGGTGTTCCATCCATTGTCATTTGAACAGGACAGTCAATAACATCTACACCATCTTGGATTGCTTTCGAATATGCTGAATCTGTACAACCAGGAAAGTCTCCACTTGCTCCATTACTTGAGATGACCAAAAGGTCCACCGTAGCATGCCAACAAAAGGAATATAGTTCAATGATAACCTTAAACAATTGTGGGTGCCTTAAAACACACAATCTCATGGCCATTACCACTAAGGTCTTTCAATAAGAAGCATCGTATAATGCATACCTTGTTTTGAGGCATTTCTGTCTAGGTGAGCAAAGCAATCTGTGCAATGTTTTATTGGGACTTTCGATTATAAAAATTTAGAAAATGGTAATCCGCCTTAAAAAAGGTACAGTATCAAAAATATTTCTAATGTGTGATTAAATAGTCATTTTAACGTTTTATTTTGGGTAAAAAACACATACGTAGATAGAAATCATTAGTCAACAAACTTTCAACACTTCAAAATAAGAGATTTTCCCCTAAAATGAAAAGTTGAGAGATGAAAGTGCTCTAAAAAGAATAAATAGGGGCCAAAATGATTATTTAGTCAAACTTTAAGAATAATTTTAATATTATGCCCTAAAAAAGTAATAAATTGGCTATTTGTATTATATAACTAGTGAAAGATGATATAACAGTTAATAAAATTTATATAGTAATAAATTTATCCTCAATTTTTATACTTTATTTTAAATTTAGATCAAATTCTAAAAAATAACTTTTACTAATTTAATATTCTATCAATTTAGTCCTTACTAATCCATTTGTATTGTCCATCGTCATCCTCCACTACTCAAACCTTCACACACACAACAATCCTTTTACTTTTCTTAATTCATTATCTTCCCAAAAGATAATGATATATTATTCTATGTATACTTCCTTTAATTCCAAACAATTCAACTGAAACCCCAAGAAACATTAGTATTAATAAAAAAAATTAAAATTTAAAAATCAAATATAAATCATATTCATTTCTCATTAGTGCCAATTTTTTAATTAGATATCTAAATTTAATTTGGTACCTATAAATTTTTAATCTAATTAAGTATATGTACTTGAATTCGTAACTTAAATTGATAGTTAAATTTAATTTTTTTATTTAAATTGATAATTATAATAAATGACACATTTTAATAAATTTGAATCATGAAGTCGGATTCAAGTATTTATTTGAAAAAAAAAATTAAATTTAGATATATAATTTGGAAAAAAAGTTTAGATGTTAAATTGGACACTAATATAAATTTAGGTATCTAATTAAAAAAAATTAAATATCAAATTAAACCTTAAACTCCCAATATTAAAATACATATTAATCCATTAATTTTTTTTAAAGAACATAAAATAGGCTAAAGGTATTGCCCGTCCAACTCAGTTGGTAGAGCGCAAGACTTTTAATATTGTGGTCGTGGGATCGAGTCTCATGGTAGACAATTAATAATTGGAGTTCTTTCTCTCAACCTGACGTTGGGGACAACCTTCTACCTTACATTCTCCTTATCCTATTACATATGGAAAAAGGGTCAGCTAATTATATAAAATGGGCTAAAGGCGTATATATGTTAAAGAAGAATAAGCCCATTGAGATTGCCTTGTTCTCCTACTCCTACCAAAACTGTAATATTTTGTCTATATAACTTTATCGTTTTAAGTTTAGCCTTTAGCAATTAGCACACGGCTCAGAATCTGAGAGAAAACAAGGAAGAAAAAGAAAATAGATAGATATATATATTTTTTAAAAAAAGGGGAAAAAACCTAGATAAAGGGAAGAACAAAGAAATAGATAAGGGTTGAATCGATCTATCCGAGCTTTGATCTTTTTGTTTCGAAGGTAACTCCTTTGACCCATTAATTTCAGCAACCCTTTTTTCTATCCCCTATCTCTTTCATGCTTAGGGTTTCCCTTCACTCAATTTTGGGAATTTTTTTGTTGGTTAATCTTCTGTTTTCCCAATTGCTTAAATGCTTTAAGTTCTGTAGATTTCTCAAGAATTAGGCTATTTTAAGCTCACTGTTTTATACTATTCGGTTAATTTTCTGAGCAAAAACACTGTTTTTTTGGGAAAAGAAGAAAAGAATTTAGCTTTATTGCTTCTCCTGAGAAAAAAAGAGCTTCAATTGGTCTATTTTTGTTGATTAGGTTTATCATTATCGGAAGCGTTTGTCCATTTTCTTTTTTTGGCATTTTAAGCTAGGTAGAACTTAGAAGATTATTAGTCTGATCTTATTGGTGACATTTTGCATCTGTATTCTCATGGGTTTAAAGGAAACCGCTTTTTCCTTTTGCAGATTTTCGATGATTGGGCTAATTATTAGATTGGTTTTTGAATTTGGGGTGTTTGGAGTAATGGGTATTTCTTACCTTGTGGAATTTGTTTGGAGCTCTTGTTTGTTTCGTCGGTTCTTATTCGATATTATGCTATTATTGTTACCTATTTAGTTTTGTAATGGGATGGTTTACAGGGTTTTATGGTTTTTGGCACCTCGATGTGTATGGTAAGCATTTAGGGTTCAAAGGAAATAATCTTTGTTTATTTTTTTGGGATTCTGGCTACTTTGATAGTTATTGGGTTGTTTTTCTGATTTTAGGCACGTTTCATAACTGGTGTGGTTAAATTAGTGGGATTTTTTTCAGGATTTTTAATTATTTTATGGTTTATTAATTAAGCTTGTACTGTAACTACAATCTGTTGAACTAATTTGTCCTCGATTTATGAGTATTGTAGATGTAAAGTATGTTTTGTTTCCAAAGTAATTGAAATTCTGTTTTAATCAGATATTTGATTTGATATACATGCCAACACAGTTCGTGGTCAGATAATGGCTGTTGAGGCTCCTGCCAAACATGTTTACGATTTTGATGATGATGATGACGATGGGCCCGTAGTGTTCAAGAGGAATAATGCCTCGTCCTCTAAGCAAAATCAGTTTAACTCAGAAGTAAAGAAGACATTGTCTCAAAGGTCTGATGGACAATCTGGGAGGCAGGCCTCTGATGCAAGAGCTCTCAATGGTCAAAGTTCCGGTTCCCAGATCAAGTCCATCCCACCTTCCAAGTCACCTCCCGTGCGATCACCTATTTTGAACCCAAAATCATCAAATTCATCTGTGAAGGCATCACCAGTGAGGTCACCAGTAATGAATTCTAACGCATCCACTTCACTAAATGATCAGTCAAAACAAGCAACGAAGCAGAATAAGTTTACTGCTGTCAAGGAAGAGAAAAGCCCAATTAAAACCACTGAAACAAACACCGACAGTGACGATGATGATGATTCACAACCTTTGAGTGCAAGGCTTAAGGGTATCTCAAGCCAGGGCAACAAAGGGGCAAACACTTCAACTCCTGCCCAATCACAGCGATTGGTACCAAGGATCGAGATAAAAAAATCTGCTGAAGATCCTGATGATGAAGCTCCTTTGTCTGCAAGGTTCAAAATGAAGTCGAATACAGAGACATTGAGTAGTAAGCCGTATGAATCTCATGAGAAGAAACCTATGGCTTCTAAAATTCGGCAGAATGGTTCTACCATGAAAGACAAGCAGCAAAAGTCTTCTGAGTTGTCGGATAAGAGACCTCTTGATAAGGGCAATTCATCAGATCAGTCTTGTGCTAAAAAGCCAAAGATTTCAGATACACCTACAACAATGAAATCCAAGCAAGTTACAGTGAAAGCAGAAAAAGCTGAAGAAGATGATGACCATATTCCAATTTCCCAGCGGATAAAAAAGTCAGTTTCATCAAACAGTAAAACATCATCCATGAAGCAAAAAGCGACCAAAGTTGTCTCTTCATCATTTAAAAAGACGAATAAAAAATCGAAGAAAGATATGAAAAATTCTAATTATAGTAAGTCAACAAAGCTGTCACCTAGTTCTGGTGATGGTCAGAAAAAGTGGAGTACCTTGGTTCACAATGGTGTCATTTTCCCACCTACATACAAGCCTCATGGGGTTATGATGCTGTACAATGGACGACCAATTGATCTCACTTCTGAGCAAGAGGAGGTCTCTCTCTCTCTCTCTATGTATATATATATTTATTTGTCTATCTATCTATTGTTTTATATGTTCTTATCATATGTTTTCTTTGAGAACTGTTTTCATTAATGTTATTGCAATTCATGTCAAAGTTCTCATTTGACTTGTTGCTGGTTATTTAACCCGATCTGTTCATTCTGCAGGTGGCAACAATGTTTGCTGTAATGAAAGATACAGATTACATGAGTAAGCCACAGTTCAAGAAGAATTTCTGGGAGGACTGGAGTAAGATACTGGGGAAAAACCATATCATTAAGAGTTTGGAAAAATGTGATTTCACTCCAATATACGAGTGGCATCTGCAGGAGAAAGAGAAGAAGAAGCAAATGAGTTCTGAAGTAAGTTGGTTCAAAATAATTTTTGGCTTCGATATGCTATAGCTTTTTGTACTACATCTGTCTTAGAACCTGAATATTTAATTGCTTCATGTTCATTCAAAGTAAACTCATAATAATATCACAAAGTTTTATAACTGTTGAGCATGTTTGCTTTTTTTAGGAAAAGAAGGCTCTGAAAGAAGAAAAGATGAAGCAGGAGGAAAAGTATATGTGGGCTATTGTTGATGGTGTCAAAGAGAAGGTGAAAATTTTGTTTCAGTGTAGAATTCGATTTATCCCTTTTAAAACTTCTTTACTTCTTGATTTCATTTAATTTGTTTTTGCTTATCCTCATTCTAAGCTGTGTTTGGAGAGTAATGCATTTTTTTCTTTCTCCTTTTCCGCCAATACCAAAATCTACAAAAAAGTAATAGCTTTCTTTCAATTGTGTCACTTTCCTTTTTCTAATTCAGATTGTTTTAACTTCAGGTAGGAAATTTCAGAGTCGAACCACCTGGGCTTTTCCGAGGTCGAGGGGAGCATCCAAAGGTATTGGTGACATGCTTCACAACTTCAAAGCAGTAGAAAACTTCACGCTTTAGTTTGATTGTTCAGTTTATGGGATTCTTATATTAAGCCTTTTCAATTTATTGTTGTTTATCAGATGGGAAAGTTGAAAAGGCGTATTCGTCCATGTGACATTACCATTAATATCGGAAAGGATGCCCCAATTCCAGAATGCTCAATCCCTGGTGAAAGGTTAAGACTTAAGAGTCAGACAGAGAGTATTTATTTTCTAGAATATATGAAAAGATTGGAAATTATTTAGAATTTAGTTATATTAATTCTGGGACTTTTTTGTTTGATTGGCAGATGGAAAGATATAAAACACGACAATACTGTTACATGGTTAGCTTTCTGGAATGATCCCATTAATCCGAAAGAATTCAAATATGTATTTTTGGCAGCCAGTAGTTCTTTGAAGGGGCAAAGTGACAAGGAGAAATACGAGAAATCAAGGCTGCTGAAAGTAATAACCAATATGATGGTGCTTTTAGTTTTTATTTCGTGAACCATCTATAAATGGATATATGCGCTTTAAATGCAGGATTATATCAAGAACATCAGGGCAGCATATACTAAGGATTTTACGGCGAAAGATGTTACAAAGAGACAAATTGCTGTTGCTACATATCTTATTGATAAATTAGCTCTTAGGGCTGGTAATGAGAAGGTATATCATGTCTATACCATGAACAATCCATGTTCTGCTTCTTTTGATTTGTATGCAAGTACATTAACTGTGTGTAGGATTGAATTCAATGAGGAAATAGAAGGTCTGAGCTGATTTTTCCATATGCAGGATGACGATGAAGCTGATACTGTAGGTTGCTGCACGCTTAAAGTAGGAAATGTGGAATGTATTCCTCCAAATAAGTTGAAGGTAAGGCTGGATTATGCTCCAAGAAGAGATATTCAGTATTCTTTTGTAATTTGTTGGAATGAGCCTAATTGTTGTAAGCCTTTGCATTTTAAAACTGGTTAGTTTTGGTTGACATGAATTTAGTATTAGGTTTGGAAATTGTTGTTTGTTGAATTCTATGGCAGCTAGTCATTTACCAGCTAGCCGATATTAATGTTTAACATTTTTGTTTTTGTTTTGATCTGTAGTTTGACTTCCTCGGTAAAGATTCAATTCAGTATGTGAACACAGTAGAAGTTGAGCTTCCTGTGTACAAGGCAATAGGGCAGTTTCAAACTGGTGAGTTGTTGACCACATGTGGTTAAAATTCACGTGTATGACATGACTTGAGCTAAAGAGTGTGATCTCTCCTTTATGCAGGGAAAAGCAAAACTGATGATCTTTTTGATGAGCTTGATACAAGCAAACTAAATGCTCATCTGAAGGAACTCATGCCTGGTCTTACAGCAAAAGTCTTCCGTACCTATAATGCTTCCATTACATTGGATGATATGGTATGTCAGCCTATACATGACATACATGCATTCGACTCTATTATGCATGTGTGCTTAGCCTAATTGTGAGACATCAGTATATGAGGCAAATGTATTGGACCATAATGGTTATAGTGATATATAAACAACTTATGAGAGCTTTCAGTGTAGTTGCAAACACTGTGATTGATAGCATGCATTATGCAATTATGGTTTTGTAATGTATTTTTTTAACTACTTTCCTATTTTCCCGTGTTAATAATGACAGTTAAATAAAGAAACCAAAGATGGGGATGTGGCAGAGAAAGTAGTAATTTATCAGCGAGCAAACAAAGAGGTAAGGACTGTTTCTGGCTAGATGCTGAGCCGAGGACGTTATCAATCTCAACTTTCAGTATTTAGATTTCTGATTGTTCTTGCTGCAGGTTGCCATCATTTGTAATCATCAACGTAGTATCTCGAAATCTCATAGTGCACAGATGTCAAGGTTGACTGAGAAAATAACAGAACTCAAGGTAATTACACTTCTAGAAAATTTCTTGGTGAACTTTCAAGTTTTTACATGTATTTTGACGGTTATATCCCCATACCTCTGTCTGGAAAAGTGACTGACATGAGTGTTGCCACATACTTGAAGAAAAAGAGCCGGAGTAACATAGGCACGTAGGATATTGTCCTGAGTGGTTTCAAATTTAAACATTTTATTCTTGGAATTGGTGCTTTTCCATTTTAACCATTGGGCTGACTTTTTTGTATTGCTTTTAGGATGTTCTAAAAGAGCTAAAAACTGATTTGGATAGAGCTAAGAAAGGGAAGCCGCCATTGAAGGATGCTGATGGGAAGCAGAAGAGAAACTTGACCCCTGAAGCGTATAATAGCTCATCCCCTTTTTTTGTTAAGCCTTCCATATAAATTTTTGCTTACCAACTCCTTGGTTGATTCATGTTTGATGCAGGATACAGAAAAAGATTGCACAAACAAATGCAAAGATCGAGAAGATGGAACGGGACATGCAAACTAAGGAGGATCTGAAAACTGTGGCATTGGGCACATCCAAAATCAATTACCTTGACCCTAGGATCACGGTTGCATGGTGCAAGCGGCACGAAGTTCCCATCGAGAAGGTAAACCATATCTATCCAATTCTCACTATTGGGATGACGCATTATTCAACCGAGGTTCATTTGCCTATTATATATTGCTTCACAGATTTTCAACAAGTCTCTTCTGGCAAAGTTTGCTTGGGCAATGGATGTGGATCCCGATTTCAGATTTTGATATGTGGGATTACCAGGTTGGTGCCATTAAATTCATACTCCGACCTATCGGCCCATGCAGAAAAGATGGGGACAAAGGAACAACCAAAAGTCTCCTCTTCTTGAATTATCATCCATTTTTCCATTGAAGTTGTTCACATTTTTTTTTGGTTTTAGTGGAAAATTCATGTTATATGTCGATCTAATCTAATCAGAGTTGCTAAAAGAAATTGTTTGCTTTCAACATTTGAACATTCCTCACTAACTGTTAAATGTTGGACTCGAGATACATTGAAGAATGGTTCATAAGCAGAGTTAATTTTGTACATTCCCTCACTGAGATCCCTTTTTGTTAGTATACTATTATCAGATTCTGCAAATGCTACTTTTTGGTACATAAGATACCTTATATTGTCCGAATACCAAGATTCCAGTTTTCGCCATATACATCATCTGAAAACGAAGATGAAGCTGCTGTTTGAAACAAGATTCTAGCTGTCTTATACATTGTCTGAAAATGTTTGTTTTCTTATGCCATGCTATACTTTCACCGACATTTGAAGTCCAAATTCGTCTCTCGTTTCTCATTTCCGACCTATCGGTTTTGCTGTCGAACAAACCGGTTTGCATATTATCAACCTTGGCAAAACCCCTTTCAGCCTTTACTTCATATTCAATGGCTGCCCTTTTCGATTCCTTAAAATTGACATGCTTGAACAATCTTCTCTGGGTTGTTGTTATGCCAAATGCATCTTCAAATGGATTTGAGGAAAATGAATTCTATTCGACTGATTATATATATAAAGAAGAGATTATAAATGTTGCGATTTGAGAATTAGACAAATTCATTGGATTAAACTAATGGATAAGAAGAAACAAGGAAGCAAAAAATTCCTAGACTTGGCCGTTTGTTAATATCGCTATGACCTATGTCGCTTAGCATTCGTTCTATTCCCCGTTCCTAAATTCTATATCTCAATAAAAAAAATAAAAAAATAGCTATTGCCAATTCTTTTAATCAAATCTATCTTGAAAACTTTAAACTTTCTGGGTTTAATAAATAAGCTCATCCAATTTTACTTTTCATCACTGTAAGATCCTCCAGGATTTCATTTTTTTAGATTAAAATTTGCCTTTCTATGTTATGAGTTTTTGTTTAATTTCATTGAAGTACTGGAAAGTTTGCATTTTGTTAATGAGGTTTTAGTCAAGTTTCTTTCTTCTAGCCCCCTTTTTAGTAAAATAAAAAAGGTTATCGTTTTCTGAACATCAATCAAGGAAGCCACTAAATATAGGCCTTTTTGTCCCCAGAGAATTGAGCTTCATTTAGCATCATTTAAACTAAAATTTGATTCCCTCGCTTCTGAGCCAAAAAAAAGGTGTTTTTTCCCCTCGGGAATTAATCTTTGATCAACTTTGCAAGGTTAAAGTAGCTAAGTTAGCTCTCATCTGTTCTTTTTTTTATTGTTCTTAATGATGTTCAAGTGTGTAATTTTATGCTTTTTTATTATATATTAAGTCCATTTTATTGCTTTGTGAAAGGCTAATGGCATCTTCATCAGACACATGGATACGAGAATATAATGAAGCAGTGAAAATTGCAGATGATATCAATGGCATGATATCCAGCAAGAGTTCAAAGCCTGCGCTGGGACCCGAAATGCAGCGTCACGCATCAGCTGTCCGAAGGAAGATTACAATCTTAGGGACTCGACTTGACGGATTGCAGTCCCTTTTGTCTAGGCCCCCCGGGAAGCCATTGTAAGTCATCTTAATAGGAGTGAATTGGTATTGGATTTGTGTTCTAATAATGTCCTTTAGGGTATTTATCATTAACATGTCGGATTAGTGTTTTGATAATGTCTTATGTCGGTTGCAAATTCGAATACGTTATCAATAATCCGGGTTTGACTGTTTGTTAATTCTTCATACGTTGTTTTCAGAACAGAGAAGGAGATGAATCGTCGCAAGGACATGACTTCGAACTTAAGATCGAAAGCGAATCAGATGGCTTCTGCATTCAACATGTCAAACATTGCTAACAGAGACAGCTTGCTGGGGCCGGAAACCAAGCCAGATGCTATGAGTAGAACACTTGGTTTGGATAACTCCGGCCTTGTCGGTCTTCAATGCCAAATAATGAAAGGCAAGTAATTTCAATTACTGCTACGTCGTAAAATGGCTCAAGTTTTGTTGACGTTTGACGGTGTGTTTTCGAGCAGAGCAAGACGAGGATCTAGAGAAGCTGGAGGAAACAATCGTGAGCACAAAGCACACCGCATTGGCAGTCAGAGAAGAACTTGATCTGCATACCACACTCATTGTATGTTGCACATTCTTTAAAATCATATCGATGAATTGATTCATTGTCCGCAGACTTTACATCATCTTGCGCTCTTTCCTGCAGGACAACCTCGACCAACATGTGTATGTCACCGATTCTCGCCTGCAGGTAAAAAGCACTTGCAGATAACATGACATCTTCCTTTGAATGAAACCAATGACTTCTTTTTTACTACATTTAATTATTCATCCGATCCGTCCTACCGGCGAATATCGTTTCAGTTAAGCGGTACGCATCGTACCTTTTCATATGATAGTAATGAATTTACTCAAGAGAATATGTCATGCCATGGGAACAGCATTGCAGTATTTGATTACATGATCATTCAAGCAGCTCTAATTGGATTATGCTTGGATCATTCCAGGTTGGGTTCATTTATGAAGAAAAATGTGTTTTTTATTGTTGTAACAGAGAGTGCAGGAAAAGCTGGGGATTTTGAACAAGCGCGTCAATGGCGGATGCTGGTGTATGTGCACGCCCTTCGCGGTGATCGGAATCCTGATTGTGGTGGTCGGTTTATACTCGCTCGTCAAATACTTGTAATGATACAGCCAAAACAACAAGCTTAGCTTGCCCTTGTTCGAGTTTGAAACTAGATTTAATGTCTGGAAAACTTCGTGACTCTTTTTATTGGCATAAATATCAAAATTAGCATCTAACATTTATTAAAAGGGTTATTTTTACTCATACTCCCTCTCTCCTTAAATATGTCCTATATTGACTTCTTTTAATTTTTTTTTTAAACTTTAATTCATTATTATTTAAAATCTATTATTGATAAAAATATGAAAAATATATTTTAAAATCTTTCAATCAATTAATTTTTAAATTTATATTTTATAAAAAATAATTGTTTAAATTTAAGATAATTATGGTTCAAATTTAAAATTTTTGACTTTTAAAAAGTCAATAAAAGACAGATTTAGTGGGACGGAAGAAGTATTATTTTCTAGAGCATTGTAGGTATAATTGAATAATAACTTTGACCTTTATTCCTTTGTCCTGAAACATTTTGACCCCTACGTTTGATTTTAGAATAAAAGTTCCCTATTTTGGAATTTTTTTTGAATTAATCACTGGTATCTGATCTATTGACCGACTAATTTTGATCGGGTATTGCAGAGGCAAGGGCGACCCTCCCAACCCAGTTTGCTCCATTCGCAAACGCCAGGATTCGAACACCTGACGTTGCTTAAGGGACCTAGTGCCTCATCCCACTATATCAACCGGTTGTTGGTCCCTATTTTGGAATGTTAATCATTTGTCAACTAATTTTTTTTATCCAAGGAAGGATCTTTTTATCTCAAAATGGAATGTTAGGTCAAAGTACTTCAAAAAAGAAAAGAATAAGGGTCAAAATAATAATTTTGATAAATATTAAGGGTTAATTTTGACATAACGCCTTTCCTATTTTGGTTTATCTTTTTTTTGGTTCATATAATTTCGTGCGTTTCATAATTTGTAAGATTTAAAAGTAACTTTTTTTATATTTCTTCATAATTTTCTTATTTAATTAATGAATAGTAAAAAATTAAAAATTAATCTTTTAAGTTAAATTTTATTTACCAAGATGATAAAATTGATATATACTATATGAAAATAAAAGATAATAAATATATTTAAAGGTTTTTCAAATAAGATAAAAAAAATATCAAATTCACCAATCTTCTAACCGCGTCTATTTCATTTATTTCTAGTTGGACTATTAAATTTTATTTTATTTTTAATACCGTTTGAATTTTAACTCGATTAATATTATTATTTTGTAAAAATATTAAAATTGTGATATGATAATAATAATCGATTAGAATATTAATTGAGTTTATAAATATCCAAACTTTATCCATGTTTATAATATTATTTTAATTATTATTATTTAAAAATAATAATAAATCGTCGTTATCCTTTAATTGAAATCCGTCCCATAAACATCCTTACCACTGTATCTTAGCCCCAAGAATCGTATAGGATATTGGCCTAAAAACAGAGAGCTGCACTGGGCTGAAGTAAAGCCCAACAATGAAGTACCATTATTGTAAATCCAGTTCGTCAATTGTCCTCTACGATTAGCCCTAAAAATCCCAATTCAATCCTCAAAATTCTACCCCAAATTTGAAGTTAGAAACACGATTAAATTTGAAGTTAGGAAAAAGGAAGAATGAGTAACGTTCCAAAAGAAGCCATTGAAGTGATAGCGCAGAGTATTGGCATTACGAATTTATCCCCAGATGTTGCCATTGCTTTGGCTCCTGATGTTGAATATCGTGTTCGAGAAATCATGCAGGTAAATTTCGATTCCCCCTTTTTATAGATTCAAATTCTAGTGTTTACTTTAAGAAGTTTAAATATTGTTCATACGGCCTTTTTGGAACTTTTTTCTTTCTAATTCAAGTCATAATGCAGGAGGCAATTAAATGCATGCGCCACTCACGGCGGACGGTTTTGGCAGCTGATGACGTTGAAAGTGCTCTTAATCTGCGAAATGTGGAGGTACATTTTCAAGTTTTAATAATGTTTTTTATGCTTATTGTAAATTTCTTACATATATATTTCTTTTATTAGTTGAGAATAGTACTAATTAGTGTTATTTCTTAGTATAATTTTGTAAGAATTTATGAATTTTAGGAGTGACGTATTAATTTCAAGGTCATGTGTACTAAATCCATAAAATTGACCAAAAGTGGAATTTTATAAACTAAATTTTGAAAGTTTGAATCTTTAGTTTAAGTCATGCCTTAATTTTTTTTCTTTTGGTTAATTGGCTTGTGTTATGCTTCTATCTTGCATCAGCCGATATATGGCTTTACTTCCCGTGATGCACTACGATTCAAAAGAGCTGCTGGGCATAAGGATTTGTTCTATATTGATGACAAGGATGTGGAGTTTAAAGAAGTAAGAATTAATCATTGATCTTAGAAGTTCCATCGATACTGCCTTTTATTGAATACTATCTTAACTTATATTCGTGTACTTTGTGTAGGTTATTGAATCGTCTTTGGCAAAAGCACCAATTGATACATCTGTCACATCTCACTGGCTTGCAATTGAAGGCATTCAACCGGAAATTCCGGAGAATGCTTCAGTTGAAGGTACGTCTTAGTTAACACTGGTTGGATAAAAGATCCTGAATATTGAACTTCCTTGGCCTTTTTATCTATTTCCACAAAACCCCAAACTAGAAATTTAGATTTGGGGTTTGATATGTCTGCACAGGTATTCATGTTGAAGACTCATAGTTTGTATTCTTTTTCGGTTTTATCACTTTAATCTATTACGAACTTATCTTAATTTCTATATGGAATTGGCATTTTCTTTTCCTGCAGCACCTTCTGATGGCAAAAAGGCTGAATACAAAGAGGATGGAACTTCTGCTGATGTTAAATTACCTGTTAAGCATGTATTATCGAGAGAACTTCAAGTATGTTTTACATCTTCAAAAACATTTTTATGTTAAAAGACTTTTTTGCTGGGAATGACATTAAGAGACTGATTTGGTTGCTATGCAGCTTTACTTTGACAAGATCATGGAGATTACCATGAATAGATCTCTCTCAATTCTCTTTAAACAAGCAATACTAAACTTGTCAACTGACTCGGGACTACATCCCTTAGTTCCCTATTTTACATATTTCATTGCTGATGAGGTAGTCTTAAAGGTCTTTCATACCTTATTAATATGTGTGTGGCAAAAGAACCTCTGGTTGGTTATCTCGAGCTTTTGTTTTCCCATGCTTATCCCAGGTTGCACGGAATTCAAATAATTTCCTTATTTTGTCTGCTTTGATGCGTGTCACCCGGAGCCTTCACCAGAACGATCACATACATATAGAACCTTACGTGAGTTTATTGTTTCAATTGTGTTCAGACGTACCCGAAATAATACACGTATGCTAGTGGTTTATTTTCTGCCTATCTGATTTTTGAAAATGTTCTACAGTTACACCAATTGATGCCATCTATTATTACCTGCCTCATTGCAAAAAGATTAGGGAATAAATTCACTGACAATCACTGGGAACTTAGAAACTTTGCAGCAAAGCTAGTGGCATCAATATGCAAAAGGTGAAGATTTCATTTCTTTTGGACTTATACATTGCATATTCATTTTTATGAATTTCAGGTATCTGAACGTGTTGGTTCGAACTTGGATCTCTGGTGCAATCATTTGTTTATTTATTTTTATGCTATTTTGCATGTGCAATGAAAAAGGTACAAACATGCTTGTCATGTGGATCGCTTGGCATGCTTATTTTGATGATCGTGGCTACTCTTTTTACAATGATCTAACTAAGATATGCTTTGCTTTTAGGTTAAATCGGAAAGGATTAACCTTAATTTCTGGCATAGTGGTTGTCTTCTATATGCAGACTTTTACATACATAATGTTTTGCAGATTTGGGCATGTTTATCACAATCTTCAGCCACGTGTGACAAGGACTCTGCTCCATGTTTTTTTGGACCCAACCAAAACATTTCCCCAGCATTATGGTGCAATTCAAGGGTTAGCAGCCCTTGGACCCAGTGTGGTATCTTAATCATGGCATCACTTATACCTAGTACTTTTGTTTTTTCCTATAAATGTCTTTCTTATGTTTCACTAATGACCTTTCTTCCGTGTGTAGGTTCGTCTACTTATACTGCCAAATCTTGAAGCATATTTGCAGCTTCTTGAACCTGAAATGGCACTGGAAAAGCAGAAGAATGAAATAAAAAGACACGAAGCTCATTGTGTTTATGGGGCTCTGCTGGTAAGTTTATTGTCGAATTTGATACACCAGATTATGAGCATCCCCGCATGTATTTGCAGTTGATGTTACCACGCAGTAAAACTAACAATGCTGTTTAATTTTCTGCTACCAGCGTGCAGCTGGGCTGTGCATGTATGATCGGCTTAAAATGTTCCCCGGTCTGCTAGCCTCTCCAACTCGTCCTGCCTGGAAAAACAGCGTGAAAGTCACAAGGACAAGTATGGTTTCTTGAAACCATCGTTTTTACATTTAATACACAAGTCTCTTTTTTACCCTTATGCTCCGTCTTATCCTGATCAATCTAGATAAACGAAAGGCAAGCACGGACAACTTGATGCAGCAACCACCGGTCAAGAAAATAGCAACCGAGAGTGCAGTGGGAATGATGCCTATAAATTCCATGCAAGCTGATTTACAAGGGGCAGCTTGCAGCTTTTCTAACTCCGTAGGAGGTTCGAATATTGGCGCTTCATCAATGTCTCGGCCATTATCAAATGATAACATGCTAGGAAGGGAGGCTGGCAGTCGAGTTTCAAAGACATCAACTGTTCTAGCTCAGGCTTGGAAGGAAGATACAGATGCAGGGAACTTGTTGGCATCATTATTTGAACTTTTTGGTGAAAGTATGTTATCATTTACCCCGAAACCTGAGCTTTCAATCTTCCTTTGATTAAATTTTACCTTTTCGACGGTAATTTGTGTAAATCATCTCCATAGTTTCAGGCTCATTATGTTTACTTATAAACCTTTTTCTTTTCTTTTCATATATGATATATGTATTATGTAGTTATCACAGAATATATTCTGCTTGTATTTTATTTATATTGAGAAATTTGTCAGTTTTCTTGTGGCCTTGGATTTAATTTATCATTAAAAAGATAAAATGCTCATATTAATTAAGATTTAACAAATATATTTATTTGGAAGGGCATAAACAATTGAATTTCAAATTCATGAATATCAATAGATATGTTAAATTAGTCATCAAATAAACATTCAACAAAATCACCTTAAAATTATTGTTTTTATAAAAATTACATATAATGTCTGAAAGAACAGCATTTGACTTTTATGAAAATTGGATACATGATTGCAACATATGTAACAAATGAGGATCTGGCAACATCAAATGGCCAACACAATGCCAATTCAAAGATCATACAAAACCAACATGAAAAGACACCGAATCATCCATGTAATGAACAATGAATTCAGAAGAAATAATGTAAAGAAACTTCACTCTCCTTCACTTAAAATGGGAACAATGAGTGGCTTCATTTGTGCTAGATATACAATTGTCCACCTATCAAAAGCAAATGAAATTTAACATCACAAACCAGAAGGAAAATGAAATGAGGCATGTTCATCAAACTCGATGAAGTTGTCTGAAAATATGGCGGACACGAGTACTTCAAGAGAAAAGAAGCGGAAAAGCATTGAAGATGCATGCTTATGTGGTGAACGCAGGAAATGGATTATTCATATGAATGGCACATAGGCATATGTTTAAGCAGTGGATTATATGAATATATATATTGATAAAGACAATATTCTCGATCGATATGAAAGAGATATTGGATTCAAAACTCTAATCGTATTCCAATATATATATATAGTCAAGCTACTAGAGAAGAAAGACAAATGAAAAATAAATAAATAAACTTACATCATCCAACAACAAACAGTTGCAGTAATGACCAATGTTAGGTGCAACCTGCATAATAAAACAAGCAAAATGCAGTTTTCCAGCGAGCGCAAAGAAAAATAGAGGGAATCATATCAGGAGATGAAAATCAAAGAAAAGAAAACTTCCTAGTCTGTATATAACAAACCAGGCTATGCTTAATCAAGAAGAAAATACGGCAATATAGGGTTTGCAAGATCACAAACAATCTCTTATTGAATCGACTAGAGACGACAGGATTCATTCAAGTTCAGTAAGCAAACATAGCACGACGAAATCAGTAGTTACTTCACATTGCTAACTTGCTATTCAATCCAAAAGGCGCACTTACAGTGTACCATTTTAAAGCGTGTCTAATTAATGTATATCAATCAAAATACACACTTTAAACTTCAATTGAAGTACTATCAACCCAGACTGTGAAAAAGGCTACAAATTTTAGCATATGAATTTTAAACCCAAGAGAACTTAATAAAAAATAATAAATTTAAATGTGAAAAAAAATTTACTTACAGATTAGCAGATGGACCTCTGTTACAGCAGATTCTGGTACAAATTGATGCAATTATACCAACCACAGAAAAAATTAGGGTTGTTACCAAGAAACCCATATTCCGATCTCGATTTACACAAATCTTCTGCATAAACAGAAAATTAAAGTTCTTTTAAAGAAAACGATTTGGTTCTCAGCAAAGCAAAAATGAAATTCGGATCAGATATAATTGCACTTACCTTGTGCTTGGTTTCCTGGGAAAATGCAAGAAAATAGCAGGAGCTGGGATCCTAGAACTTAACCTTTATAATTGAAAGTAAAGAGAAATTTAACATTCTCCAGATTAACAAAAGCTGTTTATTTATAACTATCTTTAATCCGGTTCGGGAAAATTTTGGTTCGATTATTGTGGCGTCCAGTATGAGAATATTGAATAAGTCGAATTTAATTATCTTAACATTTGGTTGTAACCATGAAAAAAAATCAAATATATTTAGTTATTGCTTAAATCAAATATTAAAATTTGAGATATAATCATATTATTGATAAATAGGTTAATAGTCTCACTTGGCTTATATTAAATCGGTGTTGGTATTATGACCGAATTAACCGTTAACCGAATTCTAAAAAAATATTTAACCGTTCCTAGATCGAACTAATTCGGTGGCCGACCGAATTAATCGAACTAATTCGGTTCGGTCGGTTAATTCGGTTAAAACGAATTTTGAACACCTCTAGTTTAAGTAATAAGCAACTTGATATCGTTTAAGCAGAATTCGAGACCTTATGTATACAAAAAATTCTTATTGGGAGACTCACCCACTAAAGTCATGTATACGAAGTGAGTCGATTTAAATTAGTCAAAGTGAAATCCTGAAACCGAAAGAGTAAATAAAAAAATAATATCACTATATATTATATATTATAATTTGATTGATAGTTGAAAAATGACATGAAAATTAGTTACAGATTTGAACAAATAATCAATAGAAAAATGTCGAAGGACTGGATCCAGCTTACAATTTGAGGATTTCATTAAAAATATTTGGGGTAAACTACACATTTAACATCTCAACTATTATTTTTTTTGTTTTGATCGCTTCAACAATTTTTTTTAAATCATATCTAATATTACACTTTCATTTTATTTTGATCATTTACCATTAAAAAATTAACGGTAATGTCAACTTATCACCATAAAATAATATCACATTATCATTGAATTTAAAAAAAAAATCTCACATCAATAATTTTATTATTTTTTTTAACGACAGATAATCAAAATTAAACTAAAACATAACGTTAAATATGATCTTCACAAAATAATAATTAGGTTACTGAAACAAAATAAAAGTCATAGTTAGGGTACTAAACACGTAATTTACCCAAAATCTTATTGCTTTCTCACTAGCAAGAACATTGGACGAAAAATGAAAATCCGAAAAAAAATCTTCAATAAAAAACATGAAATATGATCTGATTCTCAAATGGAAATTACAAGTCAAATAACAGTTGTTCATAATTTCCAAACTCTGAATAAATAAATAAAAATTTACAAATAAATCAAAGCCATATGATTCAAAGGGAAGCCATTGTAACAAAATTACTGACTGGCTGATGGATTAGTCAGCAATTCAAGCGATTTCTTTATGTGCTCTACCGCAGTCGAACATTTAATTTTATTCGCCCGGCGTTAAAAATTTAACGATGATATTAACGTATCATTATATGATCATCATCATTGAAAAAATAAAAAAAAATATTATGTCAATAGTTCTATTAATATTTTAACAATAAGTTATCAAAATAAAATCAAAACAAAATATAATCCCGTTATTAATTGTTATTATACCACAAGAGTAGCATGAATATAATATAGCATTCTTGGCAGAGAAACAAGCAATTTAGAAGAAAATAAAAACTAAATTGCTAAAATTTTAAGTATGAAAAATTAAATTTATTAAATTGGTTTGAATTAGGACTAAATTTATTAAATAAATTCTGAAGTCTAAAATTGTTATTATATCTTGTCATTATTTCGTCTAACATTTAAAGGGCAGTGACCTTGATTGTATTTTACCCAAAATGAATTTCTTCAGTAATCCGTCTCCACTGAGGATCTTTTGGAACATGATGTCAGGTGGATCATCGATTCAAAACTTGAACTCATTATTTGTGCAGAACTTTGAGGATGCAAAGAATGTTTGTTCTCTTGCAAAATTAATCAAATGTTGAGACTGCTTAAACAACCTCTCAATAGTTTCATATTTACCAAAACTTGATAATGGCTCAACAAACTGCAAATTCTACTATATCCGGATGGCGATATTAATTTGTATGAACAATAACCCGATTCAAATCCGATTCCGTCCGGTCAGGTTTGCATATTCTTCGTCTTATCGAGTTATGTACTGTATTTCCGCATGTTCTTTGAGCCACTCGAGCACTTTTGCTCCCTCAAGCACTTCTTGTACCTAAACAGTTTCAGAACGACATCAATTCATCGCTGCACCGCATGATCCAAAAAGTTGAGAAATGCGAACAACGGAGCATGTGTGTGCCAATAACTGCATTTGAATGCACCCGAAGTTTCCGAAATCTCTCTTGTTATTAAACAGTTCAGGGAATGTAGAGATGCAAAAGAACCGAGCCCTGACCTGTTCCTTCACACGTTCCTCGTCGTAGTTTTGCTTCTGACGTTCAAATTCAGCAATTGAATTCTGTACCTCTTTCACAAGCTCGTCGGATGAAAACTGCAGTGTGAACACAAATCGGAACACGTTTCGAATAGAATTTCTAATTGTATCCATTATGTCTCAAGTTTGAACATGTATTACCTGCAAATTTTCTCGTTTGAAAATATCACCTACAGCAAGATTCTGTTTTATCAACTTCGTTATGTTCTCTCTCTGGTTCTCCAAAAACTCATTCACCGCTTTCGGACTTGACAGCAAATCCAATTGCTGTTCACTTAGCTTCATTTGTGCCTACAATGGTTAAACAACAGATTATAGCTGGCAATGGCATGACCATGCATACATGTAAAACACATGCAAAATCAAAGTCGAGCAGGTGGAAGACAAACATAAAGCGATGCTTTATTTATAAGTACACGGTCATCAGAAACAGGTACTGGTTACCTGAATCTCTAGAAGTTTGGCTCCATAAAGCTGCCAACCTTGTTCCTCGAACAAGGATTGAGGAATATCGATTTCCACCATCTGATCGAGCGTCAAAGTAACAACCATCAAAAACGTATTCTCAATTAAAATAAACTGATCTTAATGTTAGCGTCATAGTAGCAACCATCAAAAAGGTATTCTCAATTAAAATAAACTGATCTTAATGTTAGGATTGATAACCTTCCAAAGCTGGTCTAGAATTGTATTATCCGTTGCTTGGTCTCTCGCAGTTTGCTCCACTTCTTGGCACCTTTGTAGTAACGATTCCTTGACCTGCAGATTCATGCAGCAGAAAGTTTCATCTAAACGCAAATGTCAGGTTTAGAATCAGATAAAGCAAAAAGGAAAATTAACAGTTCATAATTGTAACCTGCTTCAAGTCAGTGCATCCAGGAAGAAGCTTATCAGCAATAGAGTCATTTAGCTCTGGTAAATCCCGGTAGAATAGTTCTTTGCATTCAACCTATAAGGAAAATTGCCAGTGTGTGTGTCACCTTTCAGGTAAACTGAAATCGGAAGTTTTATGGAGACTTTCTTATAAATCTACAATAAAGTTGGAATCACAAAACGAATGGAACTCACAGTAAATTGCGCGTCAACACCACGGAGATTTTCTTGTTGCCATGATTCAGGAAATACGAGCGGAAATGACTTCGTTTCACCTCGTTGAATACCAATTATGGCATCAAGGAAACCGGTAAGTACACTCTCACCATCTTCGGTGTCAAAATGAAATCCTGAAAGGGGAAGGAGGGGGGAAGAGCTTCAAGCTAGTAACATCAAGAATCCAACCAACTGCATGACTCAATTATTTAACAAAAGCTACTCATTTAGTTAGATCTGAAATATTGATAAGAAATCTTCCTTCTTGAACCAGAACCAACATTGTGATATTTCCTTTCTAATATTAATTCCGACCATCACTTCCCGGTAGTCATACTCATATACTTGAAGTTCTGAACAGAATGGATACATGAACGAATGCAGTAAAAATCGAAATAAAGGCAGTTTGGATCAATACGACCAACCTTTACTTTCTGCAGCTGGAATCTTTTGAACATTAGATTCATCTTGGTCAATAGTGGTTGCAGATATATCAAGGACCACAAGATCACCAACCTGGAAATATTTGAACCCACCATAAGCTATAAATTCAAAAAATGTGCGAAAGCAGTTGGAGCTAAAGATTAGTGAAGGAAAGTTTAATCGAAAAAAGCGATAACCACTAAGAAATGAAGGAGAGTTTCTTAAGCTTGAATAACCTGTAGTCCTCTGTCAGTTACAACTTTCAGTGAACCTATGGACTTGTGGCGGCGCCTTATTTCCAGCTCGCAGGCTCTTTCAGCTTCTATCTCATTGTCGATTTCAACAACAATCTTCAGATTTTTGTACCCATTCTCGGTTATCCATTTGACTTCAGGTACCACATCTACAATGACATCGTAACTAGAAAACAAATAAAATCAATGACCATTTGTATCATTGCCGATGAAGCTTAAGTGCACTTATTATGTTAAGTCTTTCCTCCATATCAATGTCAATAGGGGCTTAAGCACGTTTAGAAACTAATTAAGATTGCGTGTATTATTGTACCATAAACCTTCATATCAATATGCCAGTGATATTTAAGGATGTGATATTTGCCAACCTCAGAGAGGTATGAGAAGAATAGCGTTTCTCCATATCGGAAAATTTGGTTATTACGCGAACTGAATCTCTCAAAGCCCTTCCTTCTACCTGTAGAATAAGATCAACTGAGTATCATGAAGTTGGTTCTTTACGAACAGGCTGAAAAGGATTATAGAATTTTCGGAACTTTGAACAAGATGAAGCAAACATAATTGAACATACCATAGACATAGCATGGGGGAGTGTCCTTTTCAAAATCGATTCAACCGTTGCCTTCCGAACACTTTCCTCCCCAACATAATTCAGAAGAATACTCTCCGGGATCTTTCCCGGACGAAATCCAGGTATCTGATACATGTTTAAAAACAATCAGTTTCAGCATTCAAAGTGAATCTAACAAAGGAAGGAACTAGCACAAGAGCATCTCTAGCTATTGAAGCCCTACATTTAGCTATTCAACCAACTATAGAATCAGGGTAGTTATGCTGTTCCACGGCCTAACCTAAGGCTAATTTGCAGCAGTTTTTAACCTAAAACGTTATCATGTCCAACCTAAAAAATTATATAATTGGTAATAATTTTGGTTACAACCGAGAATGTTACATTGCGATCGGTTTTAACCTAAACTGTTACATATCAACACTAAAAAGTTACGCAAATAATAATAATTACAGTTACAACCGAGAATGTCATGACGTTATCTTTTAAAGAACAAAACTATAGAATCATGCATGAAATCAAAACCTAAAATGAAGAAATGCTTAACAAAGAAGACTTCTTTGTAAACCAAATTACCTTTACTTGCTTCATAAATTCCTTAACAACCCTTCGGTAACAATCCTCAACTACGGCGGCCGGAACTTCTACGTTCAATCTTACCTATAAAAGCGTTCGATAAGATAAAGAAAGTAAGTCTTAAACGTGTTAATGAAAAATATATAAATAAATGAGATGAAGAAACAGTGAAAACACCAAGAGCTCTAAATTATGAATTAACCACCAAAATCTTACTCTTGAATTAGGCTCTTGAGATTCAGTGACCTTTACATCAGCTGGGAGCTTATCTGTTTCGGATTTGGAAGTCTTTGAAGGAGCTGATGAAGCCTTAACAAGAGATGAGATTGGCCGTTGATGCGACTGAATTTGGCGGGCAAAAGAAGTTAAGGGTTCCCTTTGGAGTTTGGTATTGAATTGGAAAATTGGGTTTTTGAAGGAAAGATATATGGTGCTTTTTGGTACAAAAAAATGGGTTTTTTGGTTGAAATTGTGGAGTTTTATGGAGTTAACAGATAACGCCATTGTTGCTGCTTTGTGGAAGCTTGAAGCTTTGGCTGTTGAGGATAAAGAAAAAAGAGTGTGTGTGTGTGTGATATTTTGATAACTTGTACGTAATAAACGGTGCGTTTCATAAACCATTTGAAATTTACCTTCAATTTATTTTTCTTTTTAAATATTTCACTGAAATTTATAGCGTAAGAATTACAAAATAAATACATAACTTTGAATGCTTGGCTCATAGAAAAAAATTAATATCCAAAATATTGATATTATTTTTTAAAATAGTTTACATCTAACTTTACCCAAACCGCTCTCTATTTCTACCTCTTTCTCTTTAGAGTTTGTCATTTTCTATAGATTAGATCAATTTTTTATTCTTTGATTTTATTTAACAGAAGACAACAATAATGTTGATTACCGATCACCGATTTTCTTCTCTCTTTATTTCATTTTTAGTTTTTAATAAGAATAAATCTACGTTTGTGACACATTTTTCGTATTCTTTCTCTATCTTTTAAAAAATTTGTGCTTTTATACATAACCCTTAGATTGAGATCATCTCCTTTCAACATATAGCTAATGATTTAAGAATGAGAAACTACGACCATTGCAATACATAAAGACCCGGGGCGGGGAGAGGTAGGGTCGGTGTAGATTTAGTTTCCGGGATGGGACGGACAAAAATCCACCCCGCCCAACCCCGTTAAAGCCCTATCCCTAGCCGTGTCCAGCAAACCTTTTTCTTGCATCGGTCGTTGGTGGGGGAATGATGAAAATATTTATTAAAATCAAACTCAATTTTGTCAGTTACTAGAGTAAAGTATTGAATGGTCGAACTCAACTTGTTAACTACTCAAGCTCAGCTAGATATCGATCAAACCAAATTCGAATAACTTACGAGCACATACATGTCTTCTATGAGTAGTGTAATCAGAGATTGATAACCCTCAAATGTGTATAATTCTTTATCACAAAGGCAACAGTTTTTGAAAATTTGCCATTAAAAACTTTACCTAAGATACCATCAAGCATCAGAGCCTTTGTCGCTTGTGATATTCTCAGCTGCATCATTATCTGTTGCTTGAGTAACACCGACCTCAGCTGGTCGAATAACACGATCATAGAGCATGTATCCTGCCTGTAATAACGAACAGCAACATGAATTTAATGGTAATTAAACATAAATAAAGTAACTGGAAGCTAATCTGTTTCTTGAATCAAACTTCAATTGGAATCAATTATAACGAACTATAGGCAAATGGAACTGTTTCAATAAAGTTCGATTAGAAGATAATACCTTCAAAACATGAGCAACTGTTCCAGGAGGCTTAGAATTATCTGGTACTTGGAATACAGCATTATGCCTGTGTGGATCAAATGGTTCGTTTGTAGGATCAAATTTTTCCACTCCAAACTTTCTAAATACCTGAAAGCAATATCATCTCTATCTGGTTAGTAATTCGATATAGAACACATGTAGAGATAGAAGAAAACTATATTACTCAGATTCTGGTGTAGATGTCAGATATGGGCATATATCCAACACGAGTATCTTCAATCTTTTCATGTTTTTTTCTTATATTTTGAGGGTTCTTGAAGGGTTTCCCTAAACCCATGATAGGAGATTTTCCAAATACGGATATTTCAATAAAAATGTAGGAAGAAACAACAAATTGGATAATTAACTATTCACATGACTGAGTACAAGTTTTCAGAAGAAAGTCCAATGAGTTAAGTGATTTTAGTTCACCAAATTTGCTCCTTTACCAAGGAAAGGAAAAGGAAATTGAATCCTACAAGTTCAATCATGGATCAATAACAATTCAGCTTCACGAGACCTCCCAATATCATAGGAAGCTTTGAAATTTTAAACTAATAACCTGACTGGCGAAATAACAGAAAGCTTACCTCTCCAAGCTGTTTCTCGGTCATTTCAACCCCTTCCAGGAGTGTCTTAAGGAGGGGTACAGCTCCAGCAGTGTCTTTGGATTCATCGATCTTAGAGAAATTGCCTTTAACATGTGTAGAAGCCCTTCCTAAATTATCTGCAACATCAAGTAGGCCTTTTGCAAAATTCTGCAGCACATCAGCAAATAATTACACTCGCGTCCTGATATTCCAAATAGAAATCGAGTGATTATTGATTCACCTACACTACCTGTATGGCAAATTTTTTTGCGTTCTCCGCTTCCCGTCTTGTCCTGGCCATAACGTTCTCCATTTCTGCAAGAGTCCGAACAACTTTGTCCCTCATTTGTTCAATTTCCTTTTGCTTGGCATTCAGGAGTTCTTCTTTTTCCTCCACAAGTTTCACCATATCAGACATTGATAGGTCACCATCACCCTCAGAATCTGAATCAGAAAATGCAGTTTGTTTAGTGGCTCCCATCCTTTTATGAGATTGAGGCAATGTATTTTGGGATTCTGAGTTAAAACCTGATTCTTTTGTAACTTCAGCCTCTCCAGGATTCGTATCCCCACTTGGCTTCGCAGGATCTTCACCATTATTCTCTACAGTACTCCCATGTTCCTTTCCGGAAGGCTCAGGAGAGGCCGATGAAGAGATCCCAAATCGTCGAAATGCAGAGAAATTTAGGTTTGAATACTGCAGCTTAAATAAATCATTTGTAATCACCTGCAAAGACAAAGCGCATGCGATTTTTATGAACTTGATTATGTTTTCTAGGAATCAAAATATGAGTTTAAGATCCAAAATTTCAGCATAATCATTCAATTACTGACTAAAAAAGGAATCTTAAAACCAAACAAGACCTTGATTAAATGAATATGTAAATTGAAATTGCAGCTTATAAATCATTAATGTAATGACTACATTAAGGCAATTAATAATAAGTTAGAAAAATGATCAAATGAAAATGAAACAAGTAGATCAAATCTAAAGACTACAAAAAATGAACCCGCTTCCATTTAAATTTAAGCCAATTTAACTTCCAACCAAAAAACTTAGAGAACTCCAACATGATGAAAAAAGATAAAGAGAATAGAATGAGCAAATGAAAGAAGTCAACAATTTGAGCCAATTTAAACTGAATGCTTAAACCCTATCAAATCCCTCTCAGAATCGATAAAAATAAATAAAGGTTTTATTGATTTGCTTAATATATTGAAAATATTTATGTACCTTCTTCGGTGATTCACAGACAAGGGAGTGAAACTGAGGGGGAAAGCTTGGCGTTTGAACGCTCTTGGGAGCAGACAGAAGCAAGGCGCGTGCACCAACGCTCCTTGAGACGCGTGACAAAGCCCTGGACATCAACATCTCTGAAGAACAAGAAGGAGAAGGAAGGAAGAAGAAGGTTTAGGGTTTTAGAGGGTCAAAAAGGGGAAACTTGAAGATATATGTTATTGGGTTTTTTTCTGGAAGAAAATAAATATATTAAGGAGGGGAGAAATTTTTAGTGCGAAATAATTTGCATTGAGAGAGAATAAAACAAGAGTTCGTTTTATTTATCGGTTGACGAAACTATCCTTTTGAGACGACAGCGTTTCATTAAGTGGCTTTGTAAATTTGAACATTCCTCAAGTGTATTATTGTCTTGGTGGTAATTTGATGCTTGGTCTTTGATATACGAGAATAAAAGCATAGACTAACTATCAATTATTTCAGTAAGATGAGACATTAATTTTTTAAAAAAAAAATCAAATATTAAAATTTTAGTTATTGTGAATGGAATAAACATTACGTTTTGACATAGTCAAACATTATATTTAACCGAATAATTATAAAGCTTGTACTTGAACATAATAAGAACCGTGTAGTGAGATTTAATGTTAAAATATAATTTATTCTATTTATTGTAAGAGAGATATATCTCTAGGCTCATCGATAATTGATAATAAAAAAAAATTATCGTACCCAAATAAATTAATGAATATAAATATAATTTGTTTAGTCAATTTAACAGATTTTCGAGTAGTTAAAGATAAAAAGATATAATGCTTACATTTTTTATGCCATATATTCTCTCAAGATACTATAAAACAAAAACAAAATGTTATAATGAGTTATATTAAGGGTATCTCAGATCATGAGTTTTTCATTTAACTCGGGAAATTAACATTAAATTTAAGTTCCAAAATAAATGCTCTGAAAATAATGAACAACAATATAACTAAAGTAGAAGACAGTGAATTGGAAATAAACCATATAATGCAAATTTAAACCCCCAAAAAAATTGAATGAAGAAAAAAAACCCGTTGTACCCTCCAACACTATATTTCCCTCAAAAAAACCAATACCCGAATACCCGAATCAAGAGAAAACAACGGTTTTCCCCAATAACCATAGAACAAGAGATAATTCAATGCCAAAAATTGTGTGAAGCGTCCCCCTATCCAACATGAATCCATAGACCGTAATCCCTGCTCGATTGTTCTCAAAATATGTCACTGTAATCATAAAAAGAAAATTAATGTCATCAAACACGTGAACAAACATTGATGTCATTTAGGTTTGACAATTGGATTCAAGAACTTTTAGGTTGGGGTCATTTTGAGTTTCTAGAGTCAAATCAAGTTGAATCGAACTTACACAACTTGGTTAGTCAAGTCAAGATTTTGCACTCGGAGCAAAATTGATATATTTAAGTAAAAATAAACAAAAGCAATGTTTTTACCTAGAGCTTGTCTTTTTTGGTACGAAATGGTACTGTAAGCATAAACCGGGATCAAATTATTGTTATCCAAGTCATCTTCTTCGTCGCCAACATCTTCACTCTCTGATTCACCATCTGTTCCAACACGAGGACATGCTTGGTGGGCGTGAATGACCGGAGTCCTTGGTGTCTCACCATCATTCACATCGAAAGAATCTAGCGTTGCACAAATGTGCCATTTCGATGCAAGGCATGTAACCGCCTGCGCTTTATGTGTTATTTTTGTCGCGCTTCGTAATAGTATACAGAGTCCAGTGAGTAGAGTTAAAGAGCACATCTACAGACAATATATTAATAAGAAGATGTGAAAGAACTGGATCAAAGCTAAAGAGTTAAAGATTAGAACATATTTTGATGAATGAACACTTACAACAAGTTCTCCAGCTTTGTAAATGTTCAATTCCGATGTGGCCTTTAAAGTGATAAGCAATGACGTGAATTGGCTGCCAGTGATCAAGATCAAGCACCATAATATGAACGAGCGAAACCGATGGCTGATGATCCGCAAATGCCTTCGTATTCGTAGGTGTTCAATCAATACCGAACCCACATCCGACTCGACTTGGAAGAACAAGGCAAAGTCCTGGAGCCGGAGAACTTGGAGGTTGCAGACGAGGTGGAAAAGGACACAGACGAGGAAGAAAACCGTCGTCCGATAGAGCCACGACGATAACTCCATGAAACAGGCTACACTGTCACTCAACCAGACGATGCCTAAGAAAGGAATTTGTGAGGCACCTGAGGCATACCACCATACTTTGTATGCAGTCTCGGCTAGGAAACATGGAAGAACGAAAATGGATACGATCTTCAATGATCTCTGCAAAATAAATCACATTAAAACAAAGAATTTGAACTTCTTCAAAAGCTTATAGTCCCACATTTTCAAACCTATAAGCCAAAACGAAGAGTTGAAAAGTTAACCGAAAGAGACAAATTTACAAACGCTTGGCGGGTAATATATTCCAGTTAATATTTCATTAACGGTTGATCAAGTCAAATTCAGCAATGATCGTAACTGTAATTTCAGTAAATTATGGATCTTCGACTAAACATTCAAAAACTGGGATTTTTCAAAGGAATTGAACCCTAAACCCAGAAATGAAATCAAAACCCCATATCAAATCTCATCAGAAACTGAAGAATTAAATGGGAAAAAAAAAAGGAAAGGAAAACTTACATTGAGCTGAGCAGTGTAGCCTTTCCTAACAGTCTCACTTTCATTATAAAGTTTATCAAAAAACATGAACCTCTTCAACCCATACTTCTTGACGAACCTCGTCAGACAAACGAAAGATGTGGCCGAGACGCTGCTCAAAGACAACTGAATCACCCAATCGTAAGGCCTCGCATGCTTGGCATCGCAAGTGGAACAAGCCAAGAGAAAACGAGACAGAGAAGGAACCACGAGACCTAAAACAATGAACAAGAACCAGGACAAGCAAGTTGTCCAGATGTTGGATTGGTCCATACACATCCAACGTAAGTATGTTCGGAAGGTTTGGAACTCATCTAGTGGGTGGGAAATGCTTCTTTTGAAGCTTGATCGGTCCACCAATGGTTCCCTATTGTCTCCCATGAATGAATGGCTTGTTTAGGTTCTCAAAGGAGAGGGAAGAAAGTGAGTGAGAAGCTGAGAATTCGGGTTTTAATGATATCTTAATCCTACGAGAATTCAGAGGAAAACAAGGAAGATGAAGACGAGGTCTGAAAGTTGGTCTCGTTCGGTTCTTGATTTCACTGTACAATCATTTATAAAGGGCTTAATATAAAAAATTGTTAAAACTATATATTTCGTTTGTTTAGGTGTTTATATTTTTTTCAATTAATAAAAATATTTAAAATATTTATATTATCATTTTAGGTGTATAATCAAACACAATCGTTAAAAAATTCTATTATAAATCATTCAACTACTCAAAATATGACATACGGTACGTTTATAATTTTTTAAAAATTTTATTTAAAATAATTTAAAAATATTATTATTTTTATTTAAAAAATAAAAAAATTCCATAAAATCTCAAAAAATTCCCAAAAATCTTAATCTCAAATTATTAACCCGGCTCGTTGGTCCACCTCGCCACTATCACCCTCATTGGACTATCATAATCTCAATCTCCAAAATCTCTAAATCTCTAAACACAATTCTTTAAATTTAAACTTAAATCTTTAAATCCCAATACCCAAATTCAAACTTTTAATTTTAGAGATTTAGAGATTTTGGAAATTGAGGTTATGATAGTCCAATGAGGGTGATAGTCCAATGAGGGTAGTTTTATGACAAGATTTTAGATATGTTTTTTTTGTAGTTTTATGAATTTTGAGATATTTTGAGAGTTTTTTTTTTAATTTTACAAACTTTTATTTTTCAGAAAAATTAAAAGAAATTAAAATTTAGGTCACATGTGATTAATGTTCCATGTGAAGCAAAACATTAGGTATTAATTGTTGGTAGAGTCAAGTACAGCTGGTTGAGGGAGCAGCAAGCACCATCAGACTGCAACGTGTAATGTCGAACGTCATTTACGCACATTTGACATCGCCCAATATCACATCTTTACGTTTTTTTATTATATCTCATGTATTATATACCCAAGTTTAAGGTATATGTGTCCATTTTCCATTGCCAAATTTTATCTCCAGGTAAACTTTTTGAATAGTTTAATTGACGAATAAACTCATAAAGACATCATTAATTTGTTTTATTATATAGACATGATCTCTCTATATATAATACATAATTATATGTTTTTTATTATTATCAAAATATTAGTTTATATTAAAACGATTTAATATGTTTAGTGTTAATTAAAATTTAGCGATTAAACAATTTACGAATTATACATGTACATATATTTAAATAATAATATCTAAATGACGATGAGTTGATTAAAAATTAAGTTTGATGTGTATCTAGGATTAAATTGACAAAAAAAAAATAAAAAAAATGGACTAAAAAGTAAACCAAAAAAATGTATGAATGTTATTCAAAAATCAAACGGATAAAGCTAAGGGGCGTTTGGATGGGGAACGTGAGATTCCCACGAGAATGGAATTCACATTCCACCGTTTGGTTAGCCCGAGAATCTCATTTCCGATAATATAAAATTATTAATAGTGGATTTTTTTGATATATTACCGGAAATATATATTTTCGGTAAGAAATGAGAAAAGAAATGGAGCCCACCTTGTGAGTAGTGTCCGGTAAGAGTCGGGATAAGCTTACTAGTTGACCAATAATGTTATGCCATGTCACCATCATTCACACACACACAATAACCCTCTAATTTGTTTCACTTTTTCAGAATACCAAAACATTTTACATTTTACTTTAAAATTTTGAATAAGTTAACATATGATATCAATAAGGATGTCTGCGTGATATTCCACTCTAACTGATTATACACATTCTTCGAGTCAATTTTAACTGTCATCCAGTCTAACATGCTTGCCAATGAGTATGTCAGCAATATTCAAACTGTTGCATTTTTTGCTGAGGCCATGAGCTGGTAAATCCTTCAAAACGTTCGTTTAACCGTGCTCAAATAGCCTCTACTTCAAAACCCTCAAATACATCGGCGACATGGTTTGAAATAATCAGCGTGATCGACGATCCATTACCGCAAGGGCCGGGTTTAAGCTCAAAACTGGTGGAGAGGGTGCAAGGGTTCTACACACTCTCCACATGAGAAGAAATATGATCGTTGACGTCGATGAACTTCATTTTCATGAAAGGAAAATACAACGGTAGCAAGATTACAGTGTTGGGGAGGAACGCGGTTTTCAACAAACTGAACTTGGTAACTAAGCAAGCCGTTAAAACCTTCAGGAACATCACTAGATAACCTATTTTCTTCTATAGCAACGACTTGCAAACTTGGCAAACCAAAAAGCTCAATAGACAACTCACCGGAAAGCTGCTGCTTACTCAAATTAAGAGATTTTAATTTCATCAAATTCCCAATATTTCCAGGAAGAAAGAGCAACTTCCATTATTTATCGGCTTAACAACTTTTGTGATTTCATTGAATCCCTACTGAACAATCCTCAACGACGCTATTCTGCTCCCCGGCGATTTACAAAAAAGGATTTTGGGAACTGGGTCGAAAAGTCTGTTAAGCGGTAATGCAAGCACTTGAAGATTCAGAACCGCGGAAATACTTCCTAGAAGTAATCCTGTAAGCTTGTCTTCAGCGCTAAAATGCACCAAAGAAGAAGTAATTCTTTGTTTTCTTCCAAGCTATGTAAACTACGTTCATGGTACCTGATTTTAGGGGTTTTCTACTCACAATATTGAAAAAGCTCATCTGATATATTGATTTATTTAGAAGAAAAAAATGTATATATGTTTTGTTGGTCGTACGAAAGTACTACTACAAAATGGAGATGTTAACATTGACAGAGAAATAATAAAAATTGAAAGTAAGAATTCGTTGATTGTGTCGTGGACTAAATCTTCATCTTAGAAGTAAGATCGCCTTGGTTGTTATAATCTTTGAAAATGGACACTCTCTTCTGAGGTTAACACGATCCTTCAAAAAAATTTCAACCTAAGGATGAAGCGAAAACTTATGATATTACTTTTCTCAAAATTTTGATAAAAACATAAAAAAGAATAATAGTCGAGAGAGAATGTTCGAATGATTGAAATGAGAGCTAAAATGATCTCTATTTTTAGGTTGGGAGAGAGAGCTAAAACGACCATAAACATCTCATTAATAATGGTGATGAATTAACTTAGACAACGGTTGGAAATTAACAGTCATTGTAGGTGGTGATGAATTGGGTTAACGTTATTAGAGATGATGAACTAAGTTGGTAATGGCTCAAATTGATGGTAGTACCATTACATTTGAATTGAACTTCGAAGAAGAAGACATAATGGTTCATGCATCGGTGAGCATTCAAATAATTGTTGATTTGGGATGAGAGGTGGTGTAACGGGGACGAAAATACAATAGGCGAGGGGGTTGATGGAGAATCTAATTCAATAAAAAAATATATAAAAAATATTATTAATAAAATATTAATGGTCACTTACATGACAACTCTAAAATTAATAAAAAAATGCTGTCACCAGAAAAATAATGTTATGTCAGCAAGAAAAAAAAGGAGAAATTGGAGGAGTAACCAAAACAATTTAATGTCTAAAATTGAGTGGGAAGAAATTGAAATTTTTTAAATTTAAGTAATTGAAATAGGAATGAGAAGGAATTGAGTGATGAAATTTATTATTTATTTATTTGTATTCTTGTTTATTAGACGCCCTTAAATTTGAATATATAAGATGAAATAAGGGTGCCAAGTATTTATAAATAGAAGAGAACTTTAATGAAATTAAAATACGGTCTTTCGTTATACTTTTTTAAAATTAAATATTTTTAAATATGATATATCTAATAAATATAATGATTTAATTTTTTTTAATAATTTAGAGTTATTACAAAGATAATATTTGTTAGAGTCTTTTAAGAATCATTGATAATATATACGCACCCTAACCCTTCATGCATAATTATTCGAACCTAAGACCTCTGGTTCATGATAATTTAATTTTAAATGAATCGGATTAAAGTTAAAATACTTAATCGTTGGATATTATACCTTACTCGTTTCATCACCCAGATATTTTGAGATTGTCTTTTTAGCCCAGTTTTAATAAAATTGTAGCCCAAATCAAGGTCCATGTGAGCTTGGTCTGGTCTCTACGACTAATATAGAGGGTTATATATTCCATAATTTATAACTGGAGTTCATATCTTATTTATTACATTTTTAATTTTTAAAATATTAATGGAAGATACCAGAAAAATTCGTATAAAATCAAATTCCACAACATTATTTATAATAATAATATATAAATATTAAAAAAAATACACACTATAAACAAGAGAGTAAAATCATCTAACTCCACCTACTCTTTTCATCAAATCTGTTGCTGAAATTCACCAATTCTTTTCCCTTTGTTCCTCCCCCTCCACTTCAGTGCTCTCCAGTTGGAAACTCACAATTCCCATATGCGGGGCGTTGCGAGACAACGTAAGCCGCACCGCCGAACTCGCACGTACCTGCCGCACGCGTCTTCTTTTGATAATAGCTGTTGAAGGCAAACGAGGCGTGTGCTTCGAGTGAATTCGGATTATAACAATTGGCACCGGGTTGAATAGCGTTACAGTCGGCCCCTCCTTCGCCGCAGGCATAATCCAACGCGTCTTGCAGCTTCTTCCTATCGGCTTTCCCGTTGGCAACGCACCACGTCTGCCCAACTTGTGTCTTCGACACTTCTCCGGCTACAGGAACCCAATTAGTGTTCGTGTTGACCGGCGTTGACTGGCCTCCTTTAATCTCCTCTTGTGTTAATGGTATGTTATATACCTTTTGCTCGTTAGGGTAAAATAAACCGTAATTCCTTTCCGAAGTAGGACCGGGTTTTTGGTTCTCATTAAACAAAGCAAACAAGTAAACGTTGAGTGGGTCCCGAGGTCTCAACGGGGTCCCACTTCCACTCAAAACTTTCCGTACCAAGTTGCCATTATACGACGCCGCATTCTCTTCACTAGCACCGATTTCATTATCATCGCCCATTGAAGGCCACCCAGTTTCGGTCACTACCATCTTTACGTCGTCGTATTTGATAGCCGACATGGCGGCGAAAACGGCGTCGATTTGAGCTTCGAAAAGGCTGTGGTATTTCAACCCGTTACCCGAATCCACGACACCCGGATTGTCCTTAAACAAAGCGTAATCAAGTGAGATTTGATCCGAATTTGCCGAGTAAGCGAAAAACGGGTACGCATTAACCATGAGGTAAGACCCGGTTTCTTTCAAGAAATCCACCATGGGTTTAATCACCGGCTCGACCAATTCCTGCTTGAACGAACCGGCTGAAGAAGGGTAAGAGTTTTGCAACGCGCTGAAAGCTATGGGGGAAGAGATTTTAATGGCGGAATCCAGCTTGGATTTAACGAGCGAAGCGTGGATGTTTTTCATGGCGAGTACGAGGTACTTCGTCGTATTTTTCGGGTCCACAAAGACTTCATTCCCGACAGCTATGCCTTCGATCTTTGTCTGAGGGTAGAACTTGGTTATGTTGGATTGAACCCAGTTGTCGGCGGCGGACTGGTCTGTGGCGGTTGCTTCGAGGAGTTCGTTGGGGAGAGCGACGACGACGCTGATCCCGGAATTCGCCAACGCATTCAGAACGGTGGCGCTTGTGTCGTAAAGCTTCACTTTGTTTATCCCCTGAGATTTCAACAGTTCAACGACTTTTTCCGGCGATGGTAAGTTGTTGGCGACACGACCATAGTTAATCCCGACCGAACCAGCGGCATCTGCAATAACAAAACAAACAACCAAAAAAACAACTTTGGGTTTCCACGCTTGAAGTGCAGACATCAAAAAGAAGAAAAAAGGATTCACTTTGAAGCTCATACCTGAGACAACAATGGCGGACAAGAGAACAATGGCTGAAACTAGAAGATAGAAAGCTCGGGAAGCCATGGCCAGAGCTTTGAAGAAGAAGAGAAATGAAATGGTTAATGATTATTGAAGAAATGAAGTGATTTTAACGTTAATTTATACGGGAGAGTGGGGTTAGTGGGGAAACCCAACTAATGGGATTGAAAATCACAATGGCAGCCACCAAACTCGACCGTTTTTTTCCGACAAGCACTGTTTTTTTAACCCATATTTTATATTTAGATCTGGATAGTACATCGTGGCCATACAAGTGTTATCTTTAATGCTGATTCTTCGAATCAAACGGTGATTAGTAGATGTACTTTTTGTCTTTATGTGGATGTATAATACATTAACTTTTTGCAGGAAGGCAAACAATAATAATTTGTTGAAAATGACATTTTTTGTTTAATTTTATTTTGCCCTTAATTTGAACGTTGCATTCACAGTTAATCGTTGTTTTTGTTCTATTATTGGATCAAATTTTGATAAATTATTCCAAAAGATTATTAGATGTGGGTATAAAATGATCATCCAGCTCAATTGGTAGAGCACAAGGTTTTTAATTTTGAGGTCGTGGGATCGAGTCCCACGGAAGGCATTTCATAATTCGGAAGTCTCTTACGGAAGCTGCTCTCAACATGGCGTTGGGGGTAACCTATTATCTTACTTCCCCCTTACCCCATACATATGAGAAAAAGGGACAGCTATTAAGCTATTCTTAGATGTGGGTATGCTTAATTTAGATTAATATTCTTTTGGGACATTAAAATATTTTATTGGAATTTTTATGTACGAAGTTGTAATTTGGGATTGTGACAAAAGGCAAAGTCTATTTCAATCCTAAGATTTTTAAATGTTGAAAATAATTTAATTTATTATTTTTTGGGAAGTATTTTAAAAATAAAATTTTAAATATACTTTATTTGAGAAATTTTATTTCTATGTTAACTTAATTTTTTTTATTCAGTTTAGTATTACGAGTTTAATTATTTCTATTTTTTACTGAACCTAAAAAACCATCCAAAAGACTACAGTCTTTTTTTTTGGGGGGGGGGAGGGAGGGGGGGTTGAATTAAATATTTTATTGGAAACAATTAACATTTTTATGTATGAAGTTGTAATTTAGCCTTAGGATTGTGACAAAAGGTACAGTATATTTCAATTCAAAAAACATGTAAAAATAATTAAATAATTTGATTGAGATACCATGCAAGAAACAACCCCGCATGTCACCTTGGTGACACAGCCGGCGAAAAATGAAGAAAACTTTAGTGGGGGAAGCAAAAGATTCAGGCCAGTGGACAGGAATGAGTTCACAGCGGATGGCAAACCGGAGAAGACGTGTAAAGACACAGTAACATGTTCTACAGTTTTTACAGGTGTTTTTCAAGGCTCAACGATGCTTACAGAAGAGGATCCTCGGTCTGATGATGAGGGGGATATGGCTGATGAGACGATACCTACGGTAATGCTCTCACCCGAGACAACACCTACGGTAATGCTCAATTTTTTTCGGTGAAGTATATATCATTTTTTTAATTAATAAGAAAGTATTTTATTTAAATTATAAAAAATTCTTAAAAGTTGATGAACCCTTGTTTCAATCAAATAATACATAGAAGAAATTTTGATATCATGCAAACTTTGTATTATTTAGTAATTTACTTTAATTTTAATCAACAATTTAAAATTTTATATTTTGATTACTTACGTTATCTATTTGTTCCATTTTCGTTATTGAGTCGTTAACTCATGTTATTAGAATGATATGCCACGTTAAAAAATAAATTATTTTTAATTTATCTATAAAGTTTAGATAAAATATTAATTTAATATTTTTTCTTTTTTATTTCATTTACGTTTCTTATTTCTAAAATAGACCTAGCCCTTCTCTCTTTCCCTCTGCTACTGTTTGGCACTATTGCTCCGGTAACCTTTAATTTTTTTTTTAAAAAATTCAATCAATCAGAAGGTAACACATGTTATTAACATATCATTAACATAAATTAACCATGAGTGACAAATAAAAACAGAACAGAAATGTGACGACAAATGAAAGCAAAACCTATGTTTGGTGACTTGTTTGTAATTTTTTTTATTTTTGGTGATTTAAATGAAAATATTATAATTAAATGACCAACTAGTGTGATTTTCCCAAAAGTTTTTCTTTTTAGAAAAAAACCAAAAGTTAATATTAAAAATTGCCTAAAAGTAACCCTACTTTTTTAAATTTTAAACTTGTATTAATTCATGATAGTGTTGTTTTGTCAACGCGTGACGAGTACGATTTTGGTTTTTGTTTTTTTTTAAATGGTTGAAGTATTTGGAAGACTTATGAACTGCTCCTTTTTCTAAACGGCTAGAGTTATAGGTTTTCAAATATAATTTTTTTTGGAATGACCATATATTTATAGAATTGTAACCTCTCCCTTAATGTAGCTTTTAATTATGTACTATCTGGATTTATTATGTGGTTTCAGTAATAAAATGCTACTCAAATCGTATATCTGGTTGTGATGGGTGAGTCTTTTAACATGAATATTATGTATATACAAAGATTCAAAATCGAGATACGCTTAAATAATATAAAGCTGTTCACCACTTAAACCAATCTCATTGATAAATAGTATTATTTTTTTCAAAGTTTTTGAGTTTGTGTAATTACATATGCATAGTGTGTGACAGATCTAGAAATATTTTTTAAGATGAATACACGTATGTTAACCAACACAGTTTTTAAATGTGATGCACATATATATGAAATTAATAAATTTAGTTATTGAATTGTTAAAAATATAATTATACATAAAATTATGATTTTTTAGACACGTGGACGATGGATGTGGACAAAAATTGACATTTGATTTGGTAGGAATGATAAGGATAGACATTGGTCTATTTAACATATTGTTTCACACTTGATCCGTGAGACCTATGTCTTTGAAATTGATGTTCTTTTTTTTGGATAACCAAAAAATAATAATAAAGTAATTTTATATTATTGTTAATCGGAAGACATTGGTGTAGGGATTAGGGCAGGTGAGTCTTCAATTATGATAACTTCAATATCCAAACATGAAAAAACGTAGAGATTTCATATATAATAATTTAAAATTTGTACGGATCAGTTGTCTTTACCTGTCCCCTGAATTAGTTTGCTCCGGTAAAAGAGTTGCATTGGGTTTGATCCAAGTCCAACAGGCATTACCTCGCACTGTTGGGTGCAAATAGGTTTAGGCTTCAGAACAAGAGTTATTGGGTTTGTATTTTATCCACAGGCTTTGAACCAAATGATTATTAGTTGTTGTTGAACATCTTCCATGAACCTCTTCATTTTCTCACCAAACAATCATTGTTTGGGAAGGAAAATGAAAATGGTGAAAATATAAAATTTTTGTGAAGAAAATAAAAACTTACTCAACAATCAAATGACAGTGTACTTTACCTAATATTAAATAGACAAAATTATCCCTGGTCGGTCAATGGTAGTAAGGGACTAAGGCCAACTGAGAGCGCTGCCAAAACCATTAGCTGTCGTCCGTGTAGGGTTTCCCTTTTTACTTCTAATTTTCTCTCTTCCGTCACAGGCGCTGCTAAAATATGGAGTCAAGCGGCGGCAATGCATCACGAATCCGTCGCGAAATCGAAGCTCTGAAGGACGAAAAAGCTCGGATAGAGCAAAAGATTTTAGAGCTCGAAAATCAGCTCCGAGAAGAAGTTTCATTAGCACCTCAGCAGCAGGAAAACGAAAGCGTCTGCGATGGGTGTTGTCCTTCACTGTCCGCCGCTGATGCCAATCTGGCTCACGGATTGACGGCGGGTAGTATTTACCGTTACAGTCGCCATCTTTTGCTCCCTTCTTTTGGAGTCCAAGGTAAAACCGAGAAAAGGAAATATTTTCGTTTCTTTGATTTTACGTGATTAAATTGAATTAAAAGCTTTTATTCTTCCCTTTAAATGTCAACAAATTAAAAAAAAATCAAATGATAAATTTCTTGAACTGAATGTTTAATGCTAGCTGTAGTAGAAAATGCTTGTTTGAAAGAAATTAGCTTCTTTTGTGACGTGCAATAGAAAAACATATGTGGGTTATTTTGATTCTCTTGGAACCATTTTTTAATTATTTATTTATCTTTTAGACTTTTAGTAATTTAGTTCCCTGGTGTGGTTTATAGCGCAATCAAATCTCTTGAAGTCTTCAATATTGGTTGTTGGAGCTGGAGGTTTGGGTTCACCGGCTCTATTATATCTTGCTGCTTCTGGTGTTGGTAAGTATCTATGCAGAATTTTCAAGGCATTGGTATTCCCAATATTTCGTTTAGTTCTTTTGACATCGTGATTGAAAATGGATTTGTAGTTTTTTTAGTTGTTTTGTTTGATTTGTAGGTCGCTTGGGAATCGTTGATCATGATGTTGTTGAGCTTAATAACATGCATAGACAGGTATAAGTTATACATTCATGATATTGTTTATGTACAATGGTACTGTTGTTCCCGTTCAAATTATATCCGGCTGTTCTGATCATGTTTACTCGTGAATTACACAAGATCAGTATACATGCTGCAGGTTTTTAGTCATTTGTTTTCCTACATCCTTAAGTTTTATTTTTCTTTTCTTTCATCAATTACAACTGAAGGTGAGAAATCGTAAGGGTGAATTAAATAGAATAAGCTGCATATGAGTGTTCACTTTATGTTATTGAAGCGTTAAATTAGAGCTTCAATATTCTTGTTTGAACTATATTTATGTGTCAGTCCTCGCAGATTTCTTCCTTACGATCTTGAATTATTACTAATTTGCTTTTACATAAGAGAAAATAACTTTAGTGACCGAAAATTTCTTATAATATACGATTTTGACTAATTTTTTTTCGATTTATCAAAATGACCAACAAAATCGCAATGCGATCTCCAGTATCGCAAATCAGTTTCCAGATTCGCAACGCGATTTTGACTATCGCGTTGCGATTTTAGGAAATCGCAATGCGAATATGTAAATCGCAACGCGATTCTGACTATCGTAACGCGATTCTGACTATTGCAACGTGATTCTGACTATCGCAACGCGATAATACAAAATCGCAATGCGATTTTCAAAGCGCCATTAGTATCGCAACGCGTATTTTATTTTCAAATTCCAAACACGAATATTAATATATCCCGTAATCGCAACTCTTAACCTAAAACCTTAAATCACAACTCAGTCTCATCTCCATCTCTCACTCTCTACGGCGACATCCGTCCACATCTCCGACGAAATCCGTCCCCATCTCTGGCGAAATCCGTCTATCTCCATCTCTCAGAGCCACCCTCACAATCATTCACAGTCAGAAATGGAAAATCAACCAAATCAATTACCGATGGTTAGTTTTTTTAATTATTTTTATTTTAAAATTTTTGCATTATTATTAGATTTTTCGTATTAAAATTGATAATAAGTTTACTGGTAATTTCAATAATAGATTAAACATTTCACTTAGATTGCTTATTAAATTCATTCGATTGCTGCCAATACTATTAAATTGTTTAGTTTTTAACCATGTGAAGTTAATATTTGTCTTTGTTTTGTTTTTTAGTTGAAGTAATGCAATTAATTCAAGTTTCAATTTTAAACAATGACTATTTGAAATCGAGAATCGCAACACGAAATGAAAATTGCAACGCAATTTTAGTTTCGCGTTACGATTTTCTCGTTGCGATTTTCATTTAGCGTTGCGATAGTTAAATTCGCGTTGCGATAGTCATTTTCGTGTTGCGATAGTCATTTTTGTGTTGCGATTTTAAGTTTCAGAAACTATTATTCTTCTGCAAATTGAAACTTGAATAAATTAAATTACTTCAACCAAAAAACAAAGACAAATACGAAATTAACAGTGTTGCAAATTTAAGTTTGAAGAATAAACTACTACTACTCTTTATGTTTATTATTGTTTTTGATATATATTCACAGTGTAGTGTTTGGTATATCTAACTTAGTATGTTTATTGTTTTTGTAGAACTTTTTTTGGCTCAATTGACCTTAAGGAATAAAATAACCCTAGTTACTACAATTGCGTCGAAGTTTTTACCTGTACAAAGAAAATTGTTTGAGGATACTTGCTTCGGGCCATGGCTGAAAGTACAACATCTTGGTGGAGATGCTATGTTGACCCATTTGTGGCTTCAGACCATGACTAGCGATCTACCCGAGAGTATAAAACGTGGTAATGAAGAGATATGATTTTATTTTCTACCGGCGTATACGTGTTTTGGGCGGAAGGAGTTTTGCTTAATCACTGGTTTACGCTTCAGACACGATGATGTAGGTCGATATACTAGTCATATTACTCGCCCATCATATTTATTCCGGGTTTTTCCTTAGCTGTCAATGGAGAAGCCGAATTTACACGTCGACGACTTGGCGAGATTATTTAATAAGAAAGATAGTTTTACTCGGATGGATGACGTCGATTTTGTCCGAGTATGTCTTTTAGTACTTTTGCATGCCGACTTTTTAGGCAGAGAGGCTAGACAACCTATTCCTAAGGACCTAATATTATTGATAGATGACCTAAATGCATGGAACCTGTTTCCGTGGGGTTCGTATCTATGGAAAGCTACCTGTAATAAGTTGTCGCCTGCCTTTGATGACCGCAAAAGTTTGCGTGGCGATGGTTCCAAATACACTTTCTCAGACTTTATTTGGGCCTTTAAGGTAAGAATTTTTATATAATGTTTCCAAAATTATAATTAATTATTTAACAATTACTAATTTTTGTGTATTATATTGTTTGTAAATTTGAATATTTGAGGTTTTTCCCGACATGCAGACATATGCATTAAAAACATCAAATGATATTCCTAGGGTTATTACCTGGAAAAAGAAACGGTGGTTGTTGATTTTGGAAAAGTTACTACGGTATACGACAATAAATGATGTAAGTTAACACAAATACTACCATATATAAACAAGTTATTATTAATATACGTTTAACTTTGTTTGAGTTTTTATATTGTTAGGAGGCCAACACTACATTACAAAGGCTGACACCCACAGAGGCTAAGCTTGCCACTGATTGGTGGCAAGCTAGTAAGTGTTTTTTTGATGGCACGGATGATGAACAACCTCCACTTCGAGAGTCATCACCTCACCCAGAGCCATCACCTGATCGATCACACTATACACCTCTACAACGAGAGCCATCACCTATTCCGTTAGGTGATGGCTCGATGATGTAGAGGTGTATAGTGTGGTCGATCAGGTGATGTCTCTGGGTGAGGTGATGACTCTCGAAGTGGAGGTTGCTCATAATCCGTGCCATCAAAAAAACGCTTACTAGCTTGCTACCAATCAGTGGCAAGCTCAGTCTCCGTGGGTGTCAGCATTTGTAATGGAGTGTTGGTCTCCTAACAATATAAAAACTCAAACAAAGTTAAACGTATATTAGTAATAACTTGATTATATATGGTAGTATTTGTGTTAACTTACATCATTTATTGTCGTATACCGTAGTAACTCTTCCCAAATCAACAACCACCGTTTCTTTTTCCAGGTAATAACCCTAGGAATATCATTTGAAGTTTTTAATGCATATGTCTGCATGTCGGGAAAAACCTCAAATATTCAAATCTACAAACAATATAATACATAAACATTAGTAATTGTTAAATAATTAATTATAATTTTGGAAACATTATATAAAAATTTTTACCTTAAAGGAACAAATAAAACCTGACAAAGTGTATTTGGAATCATAGCCACGCAAGCTTTTGCGGTCATCAAAGGCAGGCGACAATTTATTCCAGGTAGCTTTCCATAGATACGAACTCACGGAAACAGGTTCCATGCATTTAGGTCTTCTACCAATAATATTAGGTCCTTAGGAATAGGTTGTCTAGCCTCTCTGCCTAAAAAGCCGGCATGCAAAAGTACTAAAAGGAATACTCGGACAACATCGACGTCATCCATCCGAGTAAAACCATCTTTCTTATTAAATAATCTCGTCAAGTCGTCGACGTGTAAATTCGGCTTCTCCATTGACAGCTCAGGAAAAACCCGGGATAACCATGATGAGCGAGTAATATGACTAGTGTATAGACCTACATCATCGTGTCCAAAGCGTAGACCAATGATTAAGCAAAACTCCTCCCGCCCAAAACACGTATACGCCGGTGGAAAATGAAACCATCTCTTCAATGCCACGTTTTATACTCTCGGGTAGATCGCTAGTCATGGTCTGAAGCCACAAATGGGTCAACATAGCATCTCCACCCGGATGTTTTACTTTCAACCATGGCTCGGAGCAAGTATCCTCAAACAATTTTCTTTGTACAGGTGAAAGCTTCGACGCAATTGTAGTGACTAGGTTTATTTTATTCCTTAAGGTCAATTGAGCCGAAAAAAAGTTCTACAAAAACAATAAATATACCAAGTTAGATATACCAAAAGCTACACTGTGAAGATATATAAAAAACAATAATAAACATAAAGAGTAGTAGTAGTTTATTCTTCAAACTTAAATTTGTAACAATGTTAATTTTGTATTTGTCTTTGTTTTTTGGTTGAAGTAATGCAATTCATTCAAGTTTAAATTTGCAGAAGAATAGTTTCTGAAACTTAAAATCGCAACATGAAAATCGTAACACTAAAATGATTATCGCAACGCGAAACTAAAATCGCATTGCGATTTTGTCGTTGCGATTTTCATTTCGCGTTGCGATTCTCGGTTTCAAATAGTCATTGTCTAAAATTGAAACTTGAATGAATTGCATTACTTCACAGGGTTAAAGACTAAATAATTTAGCAGTATTGATAGCAATCGAATGAATTTAATAAGCAATCTAACTGAAATAGTTAATCTATTATTGAAATTAATAGTAAACTTATCATCAATTTTAATATGAAAAACCTAATAATAATGCAAAAATTTCAAAATAATTAAAAAACTAACCCTCGGTGGTTGATTTTCCATTTCTGACCGTGAATGATTGTGAGGGTGGCTCTAAGAGATGGAGATAGACGGATTTCGTCGGAGATGGGGACGGATGTCGTCGTAGAGAGTGAGAGATGGAGATGGGACTGAGTTGTGATTTACGGTTTTAGGTTAAGAGTTGCGATTACGGAATATATTAATATTTGTGTTTGGAATTTGAAAATAAAATACGCGTTGCGATACTTATGGCGCTTTGAAAATCGCAATTGTATTATCGCGTTACGATTTACATATTCGTGTTGCGAATCTGAAAACTGATTTGCGATACTGGAGAGATCGCATTGCGATTTTGCTGTCATTTTGGTAAATCGAAAAAAAATTGGTCAAAATCGTATATTATAAGGAATTTTCGGTCACTGAGATTATTTTCTCTTTACATAATTATCGATCTGTTGTGATGCAGGTTATTCACACTGAAACATATATTGGTCAGCCTAAAGTGAAGTCTGCTGCTGCAGCTTGTCAATCGTATGTAACATTTATGGGATCCGTCTCTTTTACAATATCTAGTTTTGGATAAAACTTGCTGCTTGTAATCTCGTGTCATGATTTCTTTTGTTGTTTGCTTTGCTGGTTGTTATCTAATATGGAGTTACAATTCCAGGATCAACTCCACTATACAGATTGTCGAACATGAACAAGCTTTACGCACATCTAATGCTTTGGAAATTATGAGCCAGTATCCTTTTTGATGCATAGAAATGTTATTATTCATTTATTGTTCAGTGGATCATGTGAGATTGTGAGGTGTGATTTCCGTGACTGCAGACATTTGTTAGATATGACATAGTAGTGGATGCAACAGACAATGCTCCTAGTCGTTACATGATCAGTGATTGCTGTGTTGTGTTGGGAAAGGTACCTATATCAGTGCTATCTCCTTATTTTATTAAACTATTTGTAGTGTTAAAGAAATGTATCTCCAATTTGCAAGCTCGTTTATCTTAAACCATTGTACTTGGAGTCAGGTTTCGGATACAAGTATGTTGATTTCCCCCCCCCCCCCCAAGTTTTCCATGTATTTGGAGGGTCATATCTTCATAATCAAGTCTGAATATGCATATGTGCCCACTGATTCCAGTGTTGATTGTTTCCGTGTTTACATGCAGCCTCTAGTATCCGGTGCTGCACTAGGATTGGAAGGGCAGGTATGTTATACAAACCATATTTTCCATTTCATGGGGTACATGAATTAGCTTCCTTTTAAGTGTGTTTAGCACATCTTGCTCAAACTCCAAATTTTAGTTATGCGGTTGGTTTATTGTGTAGCTGACTGTATATAATTACAAAGGAGGTCCGTGCTATCGATGCCTATTTCCAATGCCACCTCCTGCAACTGCTTGTCAAAGATGTTCGGATAGTGGTGTTCTAGGAGTTGGTATGTCAAAATAATTTTTCCATTTTGCGATCCAAATCTGCAATACATCATGAAAATAGAGTCCAAAGAACCCTATGTAGTTGTCATAGTTTTCAGTTACAATGCATATCGATCTACATTTATTTTCAGTTCCTGGAATTATTGGCTGCCTTCAAGCTCTAGAAGCCATTAAAATAGCAAGTGATGTCGGTGAACCACTTTCTGGGCAGATGCTTCTTTTTGATGCGCTGTCAGCTCGAATTCGTAGTGTACGGTCCCCCCTTATCCACTCATTCTTTTGCTCTTTGGTGCAAATTTGCACTTTAAAATGCTATTACCGGATATATGCTACTTTCTAATATCAAGTTTCTTACCTCTTAGGTCAAAATAAGAGGCAGGTCACCCCAATGTGAAGTTTGCGGAGAAAATACAACATTTAACCAACAGCGTTTCAAAGATTTTGACTATGAGAAGTTCACTCAATCGCCATTGTCAACGGTAAGTTTCCTTCTCTGCTGCCCATATTCTTAATCACTCTATAGGTTGCATTTTACTTGTAATTTATTTTCGGAATCAATTCACATGCAAAACAAACTTTTGAGTGATATGAATACACCATTTCCCAACCAATTATTGTATCCAAATGAACCATATACTGAATACGTTTGCCACTTGCTGCATGCAGTCTCCACAAAAGCTGAAATTACTCACCCCGGAATCTAGAATAACCAGTAAGGAGTACAAAGAGAGGGTCGTAAGTGGGGAACCGCACGTTTTAGTGGATGTGCGACCAGAACACCACTACAAGATAGTTTCTCTTCCCAAGTCATTGAACATTCCACTGACGAGCTTAGAGGCTCGGGTGCCCGAGATTTCTTCTGCACTTAAAGGGCAAGAGGAGGGCGGTGGATCGGGAGCCAACCTGTATGTAATATGCAGAAGAGGTAATGATTCTCAAAGGGCTGTCGAATGCCTCCAAAACATGGGATTCGATTTAGCCAAGGATATTGTCGGGGGACTCGAGTCATGGGCCAACGATGTTGATCCCAATTTTCCTATGTATTAAGTAGGAAAGGTGTTTGTGTTGTAACACCATTGGTTCTTTGTTACTGTTTTAAGAATTTCAATCCCCGCACCCTTTTTTCTGTTATGAACAATAAAATGATAATTAATTAAATACATGAGCATATCAATGTAAAAAAATATATATTTATAATACATTACTATAAAAAAATAAAAATATGATACAAAACCATATTTTTATAAAAATTACATTATAATGATAAATTATAAAATATACGTTATGGATTTCACAATTAACAAGCATACAATTTATTTTCTAAATTCATTTTTTTTTCTTTCATAGCATTTTAATTTCTATTTGATGGATGTTTATGTTTAAAATTTGCAATTATTCGTTTTAATAATAATATCTTCAATATTCAAATACATGACTCTTTCCTTTAGGAGTACAAGGTACCTTATCACTAGATAAATTTCAATAATTATAAATATGAAAATGTCATAATTCAAAAAACAATATAAATATTACATGTATATATAAATGTTACTTAAACATAGAAAAATGACCAGATATATATATATATATAGGGAAAAAATGGTTATTGAGCTTTTCTGGTTGATTTCTGAAATGTTGTCAAGATAAAAAGCTGTACCCCTACCATCCCACAACACAAGCAACAATCTTAAAAGAGCCACCCTAATATAAAGACCATTATTTGCTTGTCCAAAGGGGCCTAAACAACATCAAAGAGAAACATCTTTTGTACTCGACAGCTCAAATATACATACAAAAAGAGGAAGAACCCAAGAGTTAAACTTATCATACAACCTTCACATGAATTTCTACGAAGAAAAAAAGAGGAACTTTATAAACTAAAGATTCAAAATGCATGAATTGTGCCAGTGAAAGTTCACTGATTACGTACTAAAAGAACCCATAATTTTCATTATGTGGAATCAAGTCAAACACCTTTGCAATTTGCAATATACATGTAGAGACGAGATCCGTTCACACCGTGGAAATTTTTTATAATTATTTTAGTGGCCCTTCAAATGCAAATGTGAACATGGAAGTGGCCCATTAATGCGAATCACGAAAGCATTACCCGTGTCAGATACAAACTTGGAACCGGACACTCCCATTTGAACCCAAGTAACATAAGTTCTAAACACAATCGTAGTCCTGGACAGAAGACACCAAAATGCTGAACCCCAGACACAAAGGGGCAGGGCTCTAGTTAAAATTCTGCTTGTTACTCCAGAACAAGGCACTCTTGTGCGCCAGACACCATACCGCGGTGGGAGCTTTCAGCAATGACATCGTCTTCTTCGAGAGAAGGAGCCTCAAGTGAAGTCTCGGTCCCATTTCCAATAACATCTTCACGGCCTGCAACGGCTTCAAAAATAAGTGCATTGACTTCGCAAAACCTCTCCTCAGAGAGAGAAACCTCGGCAAGTAGCCTCCAAGCATTTTCTTCAGATGCTTCATCATAGTCCTTCCTCCTTTTTAATGCCATACGACCACTAATTTCCCACACGGCTGGGTTCACCTGGGTGTCCAAAAGCTCCAGACTCACTTCTCCGAGAGCTTGTTTCTCGGCATAACACTGTTGCACAGTTGATTGTAAGAACTAGCAATTTCACGTAGATGGTAAAATTGCATCGATACAGTTCTAGTTTGTTACCTGTGGAATGAGAAAGATCCGCTTTCCACAATCAGAGATGAGGTTGTTTTCTTGGAGGCAAATGCAGGCGTCGGATGCAGTGTCAGACAAGTCCTGGAGAGTGTTACCACCCTCGAAAACAAGACCTCTGACTGGAGAGTGTTACCACCGGTCAAAGTTGTAAACTTCTTGGTTGGAGCTTTCTCGATGGGAAAGGGCATAGCCAAATAGTAAGCCTGGACCGATTCAAATAGTTAAAACCTTTTCCTTTCTAACTGGTATATAACTATATCTCAAAGTACCAGATAAGGAAATCGTATCCCTGGAAGCGAAGGTGATTGATTGTAGCAAATGCACCCAAGCTGTTGTAACTCAATCTGAAGTATGGATTCCCGGCTTCAGCTGCCATATAAAGTGCAAGCAAGAAGCTCTCCCGATCAATCCTCTGAGGAAAGCATTAAAAAATCCGAGGGATCAACAGCACATGTCCATATTCAATGGGACTAACCTGTTGAAATGTATACAAAAAATAAAAAATGATTATACTATTCCATGAAAATATGTAAAATTTAAAATAATTTTTATCTAAAGAATTGGTATGATTCGATATAAAAATTTTAAAGCCACAAATAATTTATTAATCATATAATTATGTATTGATAAAAAATATAAATTTATAAATTGTGAAATAAATAGACTAAAGCAGAGGAAAGTTAAAACTGTAATTTGACTCCGTAAGCACTTTTCCAAATGTAAAAGCTAAAATTTTCGACGTTTACATTTGGATTGAAAAACACTTTTCAAAAGCATTTTTCTCCAAAAATTATCTATTTAACATTGCTTAGGATTCCAAAAGTGTTTTTAGCCCCAAAAGTACTTTCAGTAAGCAATGGTGAACGGTAGTATTGTTCTCTACTCGAACAAGTAAAACTAGCTTACATTAATGGCAACGACACTTGGAGAATTCTCAACGTCAATGGGAGCATTTGGAAAGAACTGAACTTCACCATCTTCACTTGCTTCAAACTGGAAGAGTACCCTCTTCTTGCCCGACTTTGGTGAAGTTGACTTTGCTGCCATCAAATGGCTGAAGTGCCGTATCAACACGGAACTCGGTTGGCCTCTTCTTAAGCTGGCGGCCCTCATTCAGCTGGGCAATAAAGCCATATTCACCAGGAATCACCTAAACAATGATAACAATGCAAAATTTTCATGGTACCGCTACAAACAACTCAATTAACCAAAAATGTTGAGGATCCTCTCCACGGCGGCTATAGAAGCTTCCATGTTGGAAGGGGACGAATTGGAAGCGGAAGCGCTTCCGGAAGAAAGTGTCGGAGAGGGGAAGTATTTGGAAGAGGCGGCGGCTGCGGTGGAGGTGACTTTGTTGAAGAGGCCTGGCGTGAAGTGGAATCGACGAAGGTTTCGGTTGTATGAGTTATGATGCGGTACAAGGGGACTGGCCGAGTACGGTCATCTTTGACGTCTAGTATAAGCACCGGCGAGAGGAAACAGTATTGATGCGAGAGAAATGAACACAGACGAGAGAGAGGTTGATGAATAGCAAATGCAGATAGGGTTTATAAAAAGGAGATTTTAATCAAATAAAAAAAAAATATATTTTAGTCTCATTATTTGATTTAGGATGAAAAAGGAAAAATCATCATAATAATTCTATGATAAGGATAAAAAATTACATTTAGAAAAATATTTTTACTTTAAAAATCTTTAAAATATACATTTAAATTTTTTTAATTGACACTCCTTATTTAACGTATATGATACATATTCAGAGTTGTATCAGAAAACTTGATCACAACTCTATTTTTCGCGACACGAAACAAAAATGACAACCCTCGAATACCGGAGGCACAACGATGGCCACCAACGGAGGAGTGTTGCGCGACAACAGTGGAGTGTGGTTAGCAGGATTCTACAAGAACATTTAAGGTTGTTCAATATTTCATGTCGAACTTTAAACGTTGCTGAATGTACTAGCCTTAGCATGAAAGTGTAGGGCTCGTCATGTGGACGTGGAGGTGGATAATAGTGAGATTGTGAGAATCCTCAACTCCCTAACCCCAAACCAACCGCAGGAAGCATCAATCATTTGCAGGATTCGTAGGCACCTTAACTCCCATGGGAATGCCAAGATATCCTATGTAAGTCGAGAAGTGAACAGTGTAGCAAATCCCGTAGCACGACCTAGACGCACTAGCAACTTAGGTTTTACACTATTAATGTAGACACCTACTGATGTTCAGTGTCTCTTCGTTAAAGACATGACTACAGATGAAAATGTTTTGTCCACTGTTTTGTAGCGTTCATCTGTAACAAAAGAATAATATTTTAGGTTCAAGTGGTTTTGTTTATAGGGTTATTATCAAAAGATAAAAAAATCCTGAATAGATATACTGTAATTGTCCTAAATTATAAAAAAAATATTTGAACGATAAATTTAAGACATTAATTAAGTTAATTATATATTATTTTAAATTATTTAAGATACTTTTATTACTAAATTTTATTTACTTTAGATATAAGTGGATTGAACGTTTTATTTATAGCCTATTTAAAAGTATATTTATTGCATTGGGCTTATTACAAAAGATCATAGATTAGAATTGGTTAATACACATCCAACACATTCTGAAGACATAAATTTAGTTACTTCTTTGAGTAGTCCCTTGGTCCAAAAATGGTGGAGCCAATCCTCACATTTGTACTGCCCATTTCAATCTGCAAAAGTCCAGTAAGTGACATTTATCAACGGTGCAATCTGCAGATTGATGTTTAACCAAATACGGAAATGTATTAATCGACAACAATAACAAAAAAACGGACGAGGGCAGCTTTCTAACTTTGCTAAAGAGTTCTCCATTGATGTTGTTGAGCGTCAATGAAAGTTTTAGAAGATTCGTATCTGTCCCCCCCCCCAACTCTATCCAGTTTCGGTTTTCCATGGAAGGATTTTCAGTGAATGCATTCAATTTTTCAAACCAAAGTAAGTTTGTTCAAGTCTGATCTTAATGTATTCCTCTTACCGCTTGTTCAAAGTCGCCGGACATGCCCATTGATAGCTCACATTTATCTTCTTCCATTCCAAGTGCCTTACAAACCTCAGCTCTACAGTTTGATAGTGTCTGTACATCAGAAGAATTAAAATAATGCTGAAGAATGTTACCCGACAAATGAAATATACGAAAAGAGGGAATAGGAAAAAGCCTAATTCGGGTTTGGAAGTACCAAAAATAACCAACCACCACAGAAAATAAAGATAAATAGACCAGTTCATGCTAGGGAGAGAATCATTTCTTAGTGAATCCATTACCCTGAAATTCTCAGGTGTTGAGGTGTAGTCCGGCATCCCTATAGTCATTAAGCCAGAAAACTCCAAATGCGGACAACGCAATTTAACATGTTCTGCAAGCCGAACACAAACTGACGGATCTATCCCTGCTTTTGCTAAACAACATCAGAGACAATCAATCGATCAGTCTATTGGATTTTAGACAAGGCTTTACATACAGAAAACATAAGCATAGCAACCAAAAAACATGATGTCCATTTACTCCATATATGAGTATATGACATGCATAAATAAGTGGCCGAGTAACCAAAATTTCAGCCATATACAACTAGAAAGATTAACCAAAATGGTCAAATACACAATGTTAAATGGCATGCTTGTAAGGGTCGAACAAATAGAACTGAAGATTTGAATCTTAAAAGCAAGGACTCACATGCTTCTCCGCTTGTATTTACTTGTACAAAAACCTTCAAAGGGTTTCTCCCGAGGCTTGAAACTGCACGATCAAGATGGTTTGCGATCTACAAATCACAAATGCAAGCAAGACATTGTATATTTTGTCTAAATGAAGGTATTTTGCTATGCCTCGTAGGCAAACATGAGATGTTCTGGATGAAAACCAAATACCTAACTTTCCTTTATACACACAAAAAATTAGAACAGAGAGGACCAAATCATCACCTTCTCATTGTCAACACCCTCAAAAAAGGCCAGATTTGGCACTCCGCCTGCATTTAGGGGGAAACAAACTCAAAGGTAAATATATGCAGAAACGACCATAATCTTTATAACAAGTTATAATAATACTATACAGAATTACAGATTGCTTCGACTCTTCATTTTCTATTGAAGTACACGGATTAGAACAGACCAGAGGGCCATCACGGCCAGGGTTTCAAATCGCGGTCGCGGTCACGTTTTCGGTTATTTCGGATCTACCGTGATTTCGGCCGTCGCGGGCGCTATTGCGGTCGTCGCGGGTAACTTGGACGGCGGAAAAACCGCTATATCACGGACGAAATCGCAGTCACGGACCGTTTTTTGAAACCCTGATCACGGCTACTCCTCTACTATGCAGAAATGACCATGATCTTTTTAACAAGATATAACACTACAATATCTGGATGTGAATTTGAGGATATGACCATTCAATTACATGAAAAACTAATAAAAGGTTTGAATATATTCATATCCAATACATATTGGCATCAGCATAACTAATAAGAGCTTCGCCAAACTGCATATTGGCATCGATTAACATTTATTTAATCATTTTATTAGAATTTATTAAAGTTAATATATTAATTTTTCTGGCAATCTGAAGCTTATTTTTGCAGCAAAAACAAATGTAACCCAAGAATTATCAGTAATATGTTTCACAATGTTATTTTATAATTTGGGAACAAATTTTAAATTAATTCACCAATTTGTTTAAAAAATCTTGAAATAATAAATATAATTAATCGAAATAAGAAAAATTACCATACCGAGAAGCGTCTTAACCTTGTTACTCTGTAAATGTCCAATAAAATGCCACTCAATATCCTCAGGCAGCTGCCAGAAACAACAAAATTAATTAAAAAGAAAAACTGGAAGGATTATTTTTGAAAAACAGATGAATTTAATTTTCCCATAAAACACCTGAGGGGCTTTTTGAACAAATTCTTGGACATAATTTTCGCCGAAACGGCGGTGACCAGCGTCGTACACTTGCCGGATAAGTGACTCGGGTTTAGTCTTCGAAACGGCCACAAAACGGACACGTTCGGGTTGAGTCCCTGCCCGTTCTGCTGCCTGTCGTACTCGGAGTAGAACAGACCGGAGGGCCGTCACGGCTACTCCCTCCACTGCTGGAGCCGCCATTTTTTTCCTACTTTCTAATTTTGTTGTTATTTTTTTAATTAATTTTTGTTGTTGTTATTTTTAAGTGGCGCAAATTTAGAAAATAAATATGAATATTTTCCCTCTTTTCTATGGTTTTTATTTGGATAAGGAAAATTAGAGATGTGAATTTTTCTTCTTTTTATGGTTGGCATAATACCAAATTTACCCATCAAAACTTACCAAAATATCATTTTGGCTCCTATTTCTTTGGAGTATTTTTGTCCAATGTTTGATTTTAAAATAAAAAGATTTTTAATGTTTGACCAAATAATTATTTTGATATTTTTTCTAGAACATTTTAACCCATAATATTTTATTTTAAGGTAAAAAGACATCTATTTTAGAGTGTTAATAGTTTGTTAACTAACAATTTCTATTCACAATACCTTTTTGTCACAAAATAAAATATTGAAGATCAAAATACTCTAAAAAATTAGGACCGAAAGAATAATTTAATCAAATATTAAATTTTTTAAATATTGGATAATCAATTATTGTAGAAATGGTGTGTTGCTTTTTTTAATGCTACAATGAATACTAAGACTTAACTTATTTGTAATATTTAATTTAATAAAATAATATTACAAATATTATTTTTGAAACATATAATATTATAAATCGTACTTACTTACAAATGTGAAAAAGAATATAAATAATTATATATGTATCCTATATAGTTAGAGAGATCATAAACTAATCGATATCATAATATAATAAATAATCAAATTAAATAGTCGTTGCTGGATTTCTGCAGAAAGGAGATTTTGGAATGAAATATATGAGTCTAGTCGAAGACGATTCACATGTATAAATACTAAGATAATATAGTTTCTAAAGATGACCAATTCATGTGCCCTCTGCGTGGAGTTGAATTCGAGGATGCTTCTCATCTTCTTCTTAGTCGTTTTTGGTGTACGTTTTACTCATGGTGGGAAGTGCAACGATGCAGGCCAAAATCATTGATTTCTTTTTTGTCATATGGCTTTCATCTTAATGTATTAATAATACATGTTAATGGAGTTAATACATGTTGGTTTATGAATGTTCTAATTCTTCGATTTATTTTTAATTTGACTTCGACTAAATTTCGATCCGTTAATGTGATATCTCCAATTCAATTCCCAACTAGAACATATTAAAAGTGTTACGATATGAACGACACTAGAGCTTTCGCTAGTAGTCATGACCAACCTTAGTCCCTAAATACATGTATATATATATATATATATATGATATCTTTGAAGATTTTCAGAATACAATTATTTTGATGGTCAACTTTCATTCAGATATGAAAATACAATCCAACAAGTGCACCGACATCGATTATTTATTTCGTTGAAGCTTTCAAACAACAAATTAAATAAATAATCCCACTAATGATGATGATAAGGACGATATTGGAAGGGCACATGAAGGTTTGACTTCAAGGGTCTGATAATGGATTCACCAACAGGTTTACAGCTAAGCTGAATCCATTGTTTCCTGCTCTACAAAATCCTCAACCAAGCCTTGTGTTTCTCTTACAGGATCCAACGATGTCTCCTTTTCCATCCGATTTGATCCCCGACATACTTTGTTGGCTTCCGGTGAAGACGCTCCTCCGCTTAAAATGTGTGTCCAAGCCATGGCGTTCCCTCATCGACGACCCACATTTCGCCAAACTCCATCTCGACTACTCCTTGAGAACCAGCACTTGTGTCGAATGCGATGATAAGGCTTATGCGGTGGATTTCGACTCTCTTGACAACTTGGTTCATTCCCTCGCCCTTTCGTGGCCGAAATCACCAAATACCGTTCCAGAATAATCGGTTCTTGCAATGGTTTACTCGCCGTTTACCATCGGGAATCCGGCATTGCTCTGTGGAATCCATCGACCAGAAAAAGCCGATATCTGCTGCCGTTGGACGACGACATAGCCAACGATCATGATTCATTACCTGGAAATCACTATGATAAGAATACCGTACTTGGATTTGGGTACGATGAAATAAGCAACGACTACAAGGTGGTGAAAATGCTGAGATCCAAGACGCAAAATTCCTTCAAAGTTATGGTCTACAGTCTTAAAGCTGATTCCTGGAAGAGAATCGACGACTTCCCTTACGACTTTCCGACGAACTACAACGACGGCGCCTACGTAAACAATGCCCTTCATTGGGTAGGCGATGAAATAGGGGAATTCCACGGAGGACAAGTGATCTTCACTCTTGATCTCGCCACTGAGAAATACTATGATGTTCCTGAAGGTGACACAAGCTTCAAAATCAAAAAATGTGGCGGCGATTGTCCGTATTTTGGGTACATGAATGCTGGGGTACTGGGGGGATGTTTATGTGTTTCTAGAGACTATTCGACTTGTCCGGTGGAGGATCATATAAATGTATGGGTGGTGAAAGAGTATGGAGTGAAAGAGTCATGGACCGAACTACTTTATCTGTCTCGAGATCAATGGCTCACCAACATATTTCATACTAGAGCCGTGGGGTATTCGAAGAATGGAGATAAAGTATTGCTTGATGATGGCGGAGGTCGTCAGCCTGCATGGTTCAATCTGGAGAATGAAACAGGGGAAACCCTGAGAATTGCAGGTGCACCCCAACTTGTCTCCACTACGATTTACGTGGAAAGCCTCGTCTCTGTTTAATATTTATCTACTTCATGGTTATGAATAAAATTATATATAACTTTTTAATATGCGACTTGGGGTGTAATTTATAAAAAAATGACTTTGTTCTTCAATGTTAGAGACGGATTATCTTCCTTCAGCAAAATTCATAATTCAGGTGTTATAATCAACTTCAACAATTCAAACAAAAGCCAAACGATCAAAGACCATAACAAAATGAAAAAAAAAATAATCAATAACCTAATACTAATTAAATCATCAAATTCTTGGACATACTTTTTAAAAAAAAGAAGAAAACATTTGTTTCTAGCTCCCGATTTCAGGCTCTTTGATCAGTTTTCTCGACTTGCATCTCCTTCTGTAAGCGACCGCCATCGGTAGGCCTTGAATTTGATCCTTGATTACCTTTCTTATAGTATTTTGCACATAAGAATTTAGCCCATGTGTAAATCTCAAGTGCCAAAACCACCATAGCCAGGAACACTAAGATCCCATCGTATGCCCATTTCCATATTCTATTATCAGGCCTCAGTATCTTAATCCCTTCATATATGTTCACTGGGATCATCACAAGCAATGCGTACCCAAGAAAATGGTGATAAACATTCCAATGTTTTCGATACTCGTCTTCTCGACCCGGTTTGAATCGAAATGCTAACATCTACATCGATTTTCATCAACAACAACAAAATAATCAATGACATCGGTTCAGTATATGCATTTAGACATGTTAATTTTAACTTCAATTCAAAAATTACGATTAATCAATATGAATCTTTAATCTGATATAAGTTGATTTGTTCATAAAAAGTCACATTCGATAAATCAAATGAAGAAAAAAAAGAGAAGAGGTTTCTTGAGTTACTTGCAAGGTAATGAATCCAAAAATACAGACGCCGAGAACGCGGTGTCGATGGAAGGAATAGTATTTCGATTCATGTCCGAGCAACAGTCCGATTCCCCAGCCAATGCTTCCAAGGGTATAGCCCAGAACTTGGCAAGAGTAATGAAAATAAAACCAGCAAGGATCAAGTTTAAATGGAAATTGTTTGAAGTACCTTGCAACAATGACTCCGATAGGCAACAATGTTCCCCATCCTATAATGTTCAAAATCCCATGAACCTATCAAATTGCAAAATCCCAAAAATTCAATAAATCTTTGCTTCACATTCATCATAGTCAAATTGTTTTACCTTTCTTAGATGTTGCCTATGGCGTCCAATGTTCCTACAACGCCCTGTCCTCAAGTCCAAAACCTCTTTGCTATCGAAATTCCCGAGACTCGTCGAATGCATCATCGGTTCCAAGCCATCTGCGAAACGTCCGACTTGCCAGACATGATTCAGGCTCGATATATCGTATTGTCGATCGGGAAGAATCAGTGTGACAAACACTGCGAAAAACCCTGCATCACTTACTGCGGCCATGTTTTGGACCCTGAAATCAAGATCTATTGAAGGCTGGAGTTTGCACCCTAGTTTAATATCTTCGGTGATGTTGTAAGTGTTGAGCAATGGGGTGGTTTGGTTCGGGAGCTTAATGGCAATGATGGCTCGAGTCCCCACCATTTGTGGCACGTCAGGGTTCACACCCCAGGCTAGCCATCCCATATCGGCTGGGATCAACTTGATGCCGATGAGGACGGTGATTTGGGTCTGGTTGTGACGGGTTTTGTCGTAGTTCCAAGCGAATTGAGCTTCTAAAGTTGATAATCTCCTGCACTTGGTGGTGTTTACTTTACTATTCATCTCTTTGTAGGCCACCATTTGTAGGAAATCACCACTACAAGGAGTCGACGACTTAAAACCAGAAGCGGCAATTGAAAGAGAGATTAAGGCCAATATGAAAAAAAATTGCAGAGCAAAGGACTGCATCTTTTTTATGTTTGTTATCCTTTTTGTTTACTATCTATTTCTATATATGTGTGTGAACGTATACATATATGATATGTCATCAATATCCCATCCTTCTTCCTTTTTGGTTGCTTCCATGGGTTAGTGTGGAGAAATTCTATCTCAAAATTATCTACAAAATTTAATAATAAACAGTTTATATAATCCAACTGTTTTACACATTCAACCATGAAGTGAACATATTAGATTGATACTGTAACTCGTGTTTCAGGCCTTTACTTTCTCATATGCTTTGCCCCTTAAACTAAGAAATCCTTTAACCCTTTTGCTTGAATCACCGCATACGAAACAAAGAATATATTGCCTTTAGCTTTTTACCCTTTCAAACAAAGAAGAGATGTTTGTGTAATTTGGGTTTAATTTAAACCATTGTGAATGATCGAGGCAGAATGTTCTTAAGTGAATTTCTGCAGGAACTCACACACTTGTACTGAACTGAATCAAGGATGGTCTGAAGGGTGGGCGGAGACAGACATTTTTATAAAAAAAATAAATTAGTATATATTTTAGATTTAATATTTTTAATTGATAATTTATTTTCGTCTTTAGAATTTTATAAGTTAGTACACTTGTAAAATGTTAAAAGTTCACTCCCTCTAACATAAATTCATCTATTTTATTTTCTAATTCCTGAATTGAATTATACATGAGCTTTGCTTACCGTTCCTAAACTAATGGACAAACCAAAGCCTTAAACTAATGCATGGAAATGTATTTGAGATGCCTAGCGGGCGACATTAAACTTTTTTCTTGAGAATTTATATATTTAACATTATTTATGATTTTAAAATTACTTGTGGTCAGGGACGGAGCTCCCGTATGTTTCAAGGGGGCACGTCCCTATTAAAATTTATATATTTGATATAATTTTGGTTTAATAGTATTTTAGTTCATGTAAAAATAAATATTTAAATTTAAAAAATATAAAAAATTATTAAATATTTAATCTAGTAGGGGTCGAACTAAATAATGATAAGTATGTATTCTCAAATTTTTGGTCTAATTATTGTAAGTTTAAATATTAGACAAATAGAAGTTGTCTTTTGAGTTTTGAGTTTTTTTTTTTAATTTAAGGTGAATACAAGGTAATGTATATACAAAGACTTTCAACTATTTGACAATGAACGCTCATACCCCTACATACGTGCTTGAACTCGAGACCTCATGGATAACAATAATCCCGTAATCACCAAGGTCGCTTGGTTCATGCTGAATTTCGAGTTTAAATATCTAATAAGTCTTTATATTTTTCTTAAATAATCTAATATTTCAGCCCTGCCAATATTTAATTCTGGCTCCTCCCTGATTGCTTGTGGTCCCAAAATCTATTTTTTTAAAAATAATGTTAAACCGACCTTAAACTATAACAATAAAGAGAGCATTAAACTATAACGGTATGAAGTAATTTTGAGATTATTTTGTTTAACATTTTTCAGGCATACCTTAACATGCATAGAAAGAAGTGTAGTTACACAAAAACAAACTTTATATTATTTATATAAATGATCTTCAAAAACAACCTCAAACGTGGCTCCCCCCCCCCCTCTTATTGTGTATATGTGAGCAAATCACGCGTAGTTACACATTCCATAAAAGCAAAGCTCGCCGGGTTGTCACCGGTGATTGCAAGCGCCACAATTCCGTTTATCGTAGGCGATGTCGACGCACTCTCCTCGACAACAAACCTCCCTGTACGTGCACTTCGTGTTACACAAGCCGCAATTGTTGTCGTCCGTTGCCAAGTCCACGCACTTGTTGCTGCAGCAAGTCGAGGTGGCGGCGCTGCCTTGGACGGTGCAAACCTCTCCATCTTTCCGGCAATGCTGCCCCGCTATAGGGTTCGCAGCTTGAAGGAAACGGTTCACTCTTGTGGACGGCAATGGCGATTGATCTGCCACCGCCATTGTGATGGCAAAGGTTAGAGTTAGGGTGACGACGATTATTTTTGAAAACTCCATTTCCTTTCTGTGTGGTTCTTGAGTCTTCTTTGATTCTTGAAGGCTCTTCTTTTTAGGTTAAGGAAATGGAGAAGTTGAAGGCTTGGATTTTAGGGAGCTTTGCTGGCTATATATGGAGAGTTCTTGGTGAAGGAAAAGTGGGGAATTGGACGTTGGGTTTATATAAGAAAATCAAAGGAGTTTAATTGATATTAATATATTATTATTCAATCTAATGGAATGAGATATTAAATCCTTTAAGAAAGATAAAATGTTTAAATTATGATTGTGTATATGAAGAAATGAGTTAAGAGGATCATTTTCATGATGAGATTCTATAATATACGATCAAATTAATTAATTAATAAATTAAACACCATTAATTTTTTTAAATAATCTGAAATGATTATAAAATAATACATGTTTATAATTTTTTTAAACTATAGAAACATACACTCTGTAGACATAGTTACTCAAACCCAAAGTTTTTAGGAAGAATAATACTTCATTTAATCACTAAGACCACTTGACAGGTTCAGATAACATTAATTATAATTTTTTAAATATATATACCTTAGTAATTTATATAATTTTAGTAAAACAAGTTTTAATAAAAAATTTATATTTAATAAACTAATGATGAGCTATGGTATGATCCTTATTACTAAATTTAAGTTTTTTCTATTAGAAAAAAGTTTCTAAAAAGTTCTATTAAAAAAGGTTTTTAAAAGTTCACTATTGTATATAGACTTATGGATTGATAACATATTAAATACAAATTCGTTTAATAAATAATTTGTAATTCATGCTGTGATAGTGTATAATAAATTTAATACTTAATGAATTATATTAAAATACATTATTAATAAATATTTTTTTTTGATGAATAAAGAGAACGAGGGCTAAACAACAGCTTCTATAATACGACCAATGTAATCCAGCTGCAAGAGAGAAGGAACTTCCAAAGGTGGCGTGGAAACTAACTTATCAGAAACCTGGTTAGTGACTTGTTAACATGTCTCGGATTCACGTTCTGTTTGCGGTTTAGGTAAAAGAAGAGCCTCTATGAGAGTTTAGCTGTAACATCTTATAGACTAATTCAGAATAGGTACCGTAAAGTCTCATTGTGTGGTGACCTATCTAACCTAAATTACTTCTTTTATAATATTAAGATTCAAACATATAATTTTACTTAAAAGATATAATATCGCATGAGATTAAACTAATGGGTTATTAATAATTATTATAACTTTTAATCAGTAATATTTTTATGATTTATTGATTGATAAATATGAATTCAAATCTTATTATTTCTCGTATTTCGAAATTAAGAAATTTTTGGTGTTAAATAAATTAAATGAGGAGTTGACCTAAGAAACGGGAAATAGGTAAACATGTGGTGGAATTGTAGAGCTTAATTGAGTAACCAATTTATGATATTGAGGGAAAATAAAATAGAAAATGTAGGGTTGTATTAGTTCTTAAGCAACTCAGATTACTTATATCGTTCATGGATCCCAAGTTTGGTTCATAAAAATTACAGGCTTTGTTTAATTAGCACTAGTAGCCTATTTGCCTTGGGATTTATTATATTTTTGAGTGCTTTCAACTCTTTTTCTCTTTACTTTTTAGGGATCTCGATTTAATTATTAGTATTTTTAAGGGAGCACCGACGCTTAGTAAACTTTTCGTAACAAAAATTATTATTGTTCACGAGTGATATTTAAAGGAAAGTGATTTGTGATATTTTAAACTCAATAAAAGGAATTCGGTAAAAAAACAGTAATTATATAATCTATTTAACTTGTTAAGACATCAATTATCTTTAGCGGCGTTTGTGAAAAACACCGCTATATATCATTATCTTTAGTGCATTTGTGCAAACCACCGCTAAAAACATTACCTTTAACGACGTTTATGACCAATAAACGCCGCTATCTTTTGCGGTACTCTTTGCAGTATTTGTTTTTCACCGCAAAGACTTTTAGCGACGCTTAGAAACCCGTTATATGAAAAAAATCTTAAAAAAACTTATTTTTAATGTATTGATCGAACCCTTTATTGATAATTATTTATACACTAACAGTTGGTTTTTTTATTTTGAATTTTCGGAATGGTTTAATAAAATATATGATAATTAAATAACTTGGTTTTGCTGAAAAATGAAGGTTGACGCATATGGTAGAGCTATTCTCACATGGTATAGTACAAAGTAAAAGGGGGCAATTTGGACCATTTGTGGCACAATAAAGGAGACCAAATAAGGCTGAGGAAATGTGGCCATGCCGTTAGGGCAAGCAAACACGTGGTTCCAAAAATAAATAATACTTATATTATAAATAACCTAAACTACATTATTTTTTAATTAAATATTTAAAGTATTTTTTCAGTCAAAATAAATATTTAAACTTATTATTTTACTCAAATCAGGTACTTAAAATATCTTTTTATCAAAATAAATAACTAAAGTATTTATTTTTTATTTAAACTAATAAATAAATAATATTTGAATCTAAATATTATTAAAAATCATAGTTAATTTTATTTAAGTTTTAGTTATGAAATATGTTGGATAAAAAATATGATTAAATCATATTATTAATTATTAATCTTTTAATGTTGTTTTGTTTTAATCATTCATTATAAAAAAGTTCAACGAAGGCATTAAATTTTCTGAATTGATTTTTAGTGATTATATCGTTAAAGAATTAATGAGACGATAATGTTATTTTCTTTTTCTTTTTCAAAAATTACTAGACCTCTCGGTCATTATTCGTCATCGTTCATGACATATTTAATACTAAAAATATTGTTATTTCTCTTTTTTTTTTTATCAATTTAGTTTTTCATAAAATTGATTTAGGACTGACAAAAATTCATCAAAAGCTTTGACCATATAATGCTTCGATCTCTATTGGTGGTTAAGGATAATACTAATTTTGAGGTATATTGTTAATCTTTTAGAGGGTGTTTAGTTCAAGGATTGTGAGATTCTCATGGGATGGGAATCCCACATTCCCATGT